TTGTTACTCTAGTAATCATCCTTAAAATGCAGTTTCTCCTAGTAAAGAAACCTTCCTTTTATCAAGACTTAGAATGTAGCTTATGCAAAAAACAGCAAAACTTTGTATAATGCTTTTTTTTTTTTCCAAGATGAAGCATGGGAAGTTGCCTATTTCTATTTCTTTTTCTAGGATATAAGTTGCTAAAATATTTCATTTCCTATTGTTTCTGTTCTTTACACTTGTGCGTAGCTTGATTACCCTTGCCCCCCATTAACAGGAAACACTATTATTCAGAATTTTAAAACAGGAAACATGGTGGATGAGTTTTAGAGTAAAAGTCTGTCCCTGCTGCTTTTGTCTCTCAAAAAAAGTGAAACTGCAGTGCATCCAAATATACTACTTGCTTGCAATTTAAAGAGCCCTGTACTGATTTGACTTACTTGCTGATGGCTTTTGACACATGCCCTGTTTGAATAATTTTAAGCAGCTGTTTCGTTCTTGAGAATGTAATGCTCAGAACATTAGCCTTTGTTTTCAAAAAAAAAAATGTTATTTGAGAACAAAGATGATTTTACATGTTTTCAACATGAGAGAAATGTCAAAAATGCAGTGAATTCAACTGGCAAATACATGGCATTTGTGAAGAAACTGTGAAAATTCTCAGGGTTTGCAGACAGATCTATTGTTTTTGTGCAGTATAATCAATATAAAGGTGTTGTGAATTTTTCAGATCAGCAAAAATGAGCGATTTCTTCAGTGACTACTCAGTGGTCTTTGGTACCATCATGACCGTTTATGCTCACCTGTTCCTCCCCCTCAGCCTCAAAGACTGAGCAGAGGTGAAACACTGCTCTGCAGGTAGTCAGTTGTAACACTTGGTAGAGATTAGTATTAAAACCATTAAGGAATGAGCTGCATTTCTAACAAGCAGCTTCTGCATGTTCTTTTGAGGTTTCAGTCGCACCATCCCCTCCGCAGTTCTCCAGCACCATCCACAGAACGCTTTACTAACTCATTTCTTTAGTCTGCTTTGCACGTCATCACCACTCTTTAAAAAAAATTCTGGTAAGCTTGCCAAAGCATACTAAGCAATATGCAAGGCCAGAAAACAGTTAAATGTTTTTTAAATAATGAAGAAAAAAAATAGAATGATGTTCTGCAGTAAGATAGAAAGAAACAAATACTTCTGGAATGCTCGTCTCAGGGATAGCAAGCTATCATCCTCTGACACTTCAAATAAGATAGAGATCATATAGTTCTATTCATCCCATATTCTGAAAGTGTTTTGCATGAGGACATTTTGATTATAGCGTTAGTATAAATTACACTGTTCCCAAAAGTTATTACTAGAAAATGATTCAAAAATGGTTTTAGAACACGACCACATACTTGCTGGTTCAAAAAGAATCTTATTACTTCCTCAGAAAGCTCTGAAAATTATTTTTATATACAAATGTGTGTGTGTGTGTGTGTTTGCCATAGGTTTCAGCACTGGCTTGGCTGCCTTTTATGCAGTTAAGCAGTCTAGTGATTCTTGATGATGTATACTGGCTATATTATTTTTCCCTACTGACAAGCACTTGACTAGCTGTGTGCAGAACCAAATTTATTTGCTGCAGATGAAGGATCCATAAACGACTGTGCCCTGAGGCACGGGGTTTTAGTCGCAGATAACTATTTCTCCTAAGGCAACACTTCACTTCTTCCACAGAAACTCCTGAAAATTCCAGTTGAAACTGAAGTGTTTTGATTTATATTACCGCTCTTGTATCTTCAGCTACTGTTTCTCTTGTGTTCTGCATCCTGCGTTAACATTCAGCTTGATTCCAGAAACTTCCTTTAAAGTCCTTAAAACAAGCTACTTCGGGTTCTCCTAGTGTGCAACTAAAGTATGTATTCAAAGCTGCTACAAAACCAGAAAGGCATCTTTCTTGAATGCCTTATGCCTTAGATTATTCTATGCATTCCTAATTTAGCCATCCTTTCATTAATTCATTTTCTTGAAAACAGACATAGCTAGACTGAGAAAACTGATAGAATTGGGGATCTAACAGTAAAAGGAAGCAGTTAGGGAAAAGAAATATGATTCCCCATATGGGTTTTGTTGGTTTAATTATCATTTCTCCATTTTCTGTTTGTACTAACTGCTAAAGATGCCACAAAGTCATCTGGAAGTGAAATCCTAATTTGAAACTGCCTTCTTCTGTAGTTAAATGATAGATCTTTAACAGACTAAATTCTTCTGTCCTCTTGTACTTCTCTGTTTTATCTCTTTGGAAGGATGTGTAGCCTCTGTTTGGGACTTGCTTTACTGTTTTTAAATTGATCTCTGGGCATCTATTGACGTTCTACGGTCAGTGATTTTACTTTACTATCTCTATTAATTAGTGCAGTCTGGTACAATTCTTGAAAAATAAAGGCTATAAATCAGATCGGGCACCTTGGCGAAATTGTTCCACCAAAGGAAATAGATGTTATTTATATTGTCTACACTAGACACCTATCAGATTAATGACCAACTTAGTTGAAAGCTAAAAACCAGCATTTACTATCATGATACTCTTCAAGTCTGTTTAGCTGTAACAAGATATTTGGGGCTCTTCTGTTACGTATCTCATACTGCAATATTTATCACCCCTCTCCCTTAATTCTCCTAGTAGTCTGCAGCCATTCAGAGTACCGAGTTTGACTTCCTGTCAGTCAGTACTCTTACCATTAGAACTCCCTCAATATATAAAATCTAAAGCCTTTTGAGTAAATTTATCCCAAATGATTATCAATTGAAGGTATGGTTAGTGGAATGCCAGAACAGCGGAGCACAGCTGAATTCAGTCTTTATCCTTCTTGCTTGCTTGTCTTTTTCCATTTATTATCTGTTGTTACAGGTTACTGCTGAATTGCACAGCTCTTCCTGCACTCATTTCGGGATTACAGATTGACTCAAGGGAGAAAAAAAAAGAACAATCTTCTACATCATTTCTTCTCTCAGGCTCTGGAGAAATTTTAATACACTGACTGTTTACCATGCCTCTTACACTGCTGCTGGCCTTACTTACTCAGCACCATCTTTCTCCTACTGTGCTTTCTAAATGTCTTTTTTCTATTTCACATCTCAAGTACTGCTTAGGCTTTTTGTTCACCTTCACCAGTTTTCCCTCTGACTTCCATATCTTGAAAACTAATGCCTCTTGCAGAAAAAACATCACAGTTTGTTGAGAACATCATCCACTATAACACATTTTTACTCATCTGTTTTGTTTAAAAATCAGTTTCTTGTTATCATAGCAGTTATACGTCCTACTTACCGAAGGCACTGTTTTTATTGTAACAAAAAAGCCCAGTACAGCAGAGTTATTTGAGTAGGTCTGGTTTTATTTCATTAGTAATTTCAACTACAAATCTAACATGGGTTAGGGGAGGGGATTCCTCAATCATTTAGAGACCTACAGGAAAACTATGTTTCTTGGCATGTGTTCAATGTTAAGGAATGTAGTAAAAAAAATCTGCATTGTGGGTTGCTTTCTCTGAATAGCCTCCCCCCTTCTTCCACATTTTTCCTTTAACAAAAGGTGTTGAGGTGTTCTCTTGCAGAACTGGAGTGTATTAGACTGTGTGGTAAAGGGGCAAATTCCTACACATCACAGCAAATCATAGGACAGGAGGAAGGGTTAAGAGGAGTAGACTTTTTTTTTTCCATTGGCACCTTCCTTATTTTTGGTTGGCAGTTGCTGTGGTGCACAAATCTCCTGTGTTAAAATCATTTGATGTCACCAAAGAGAGCTGTAGCCAGACCTGGCTCTGTAAAGGAATACCTAAGCCCAAATTCACTGTGCCCTCAAGAGGCATGGCAGCACATTGCACCAGCAGCACCACTACAGACTGACTGTGCTGCTAGCTAGTGCAGGTTTACATGACTCAAAAAGAAATTTCCCACGTACTCAGATCAGGACCAGTTCATAAATAAAGCCAACCACCTTTAAAAGCAGTTTAAGTGACACTCTGAATAACACGTGTATCACTGGGAATTTTCTTATTGCTTACAAAGGGCTGGGATCAGGCTCTCACACCAGAGCTCAGGCTTAAGGAATGCTGGTAATTGTGTTACTATCATCATGTAAAAGTCCTTCAAGTGCAACCTGTCCCTACAATTCAAGAAAGAGGTTTCCAAGAAGGTGGGAAGAAGAAAAGATGCTCATACTCACTGCGTACCTTTTATTTTAAACAGAGATTTCCATGGATGAGTGCTCCCATTCAAGTTGGATTAGTTGGATTCTGGTGAGTGATTTCTTCTGGTTGTCTCTGCTATTTTAAGGTGTAACTGCAGGTTTTTGGGAAATAGTAGCAATATTTTCACTTTGTTAAAAAAAAAAAAAGCTATGTATTATAAGGCAGTAAAGACAAGCTGCACAAATGATATATTCCTCCAGTGAGCTGAGAATAAGACTACAGCGGTTGCTTCATTTCCACATCTGTAACTGATAATACCATTTTAAAAAAGCAAGCAGTTAGTAATGAAGAAGCTGCCAAGAAAAAAAGGGGCAGGGGGGAAAAAAGGCGGTGACAAGAAAAGGCATGTAGTAGCTTGATTAGAAAAGATGCTTTGCCTGCCATCTTCATAAACAATAATTGGAATCTAATCTTGTCATTTGAATCCTTAAAATGTCTGGTTAATGGAAGGTTTCGTTTGCTGTTGTCTAGCATTTTATGTTGCTATGTACACCAGTACAAAGCACTGAAAGGACAAATGAGTTTTACACACATTTTAAGGCTGGTATTGATGCATTTAAGTACTAGATTGTAGCTAAATGATTTCATAAGATGTAATGCAGTGAGAAATAGGGTACATAATATTTAATGGAACTTTAGCTCACTGTCCACACTTTTTTTTTTTGCCTAAAGAGTTACAAATTTTCTTTTAGCACTCTAAATATAGTAAACCTATTTTTGTTTTCTCTAGTCTTGTGTTTGCAACACCCCTGTGTTGTGCGCTGTTTCCTCAAAAAAGGTACGTATTCCTCTTAGGTTATTTTTTCTTTAATGTTACACTCCCAGATGCATGCAAGATACTGCAAAGAGACACAAACAAATTGTCATTGCTTTCCAGAGCATACAGTCTCAATTCCCATATAACAAATGTGATAAAAATGAGAATATTCATAAAAGTAATAGTTATGTTACTCATCAGTAATACATAGCTTGAATTGGGCTAACTCATTTACAAACTGCTAGCAGCTTCAGAGATGCAGTGAAGTAGGGATACAGAGCAAGAGAGGATTGGGTGAGTAGTTTAACCGTAGCATTTCAAGCTGGAAACTTCCCTGGTTATAGAGAACAGCACTTGACTATATGTGCTTATTTGCAATTTGATTAATATTTCTCCAGAAAGAATTCTTCTTCAATACAAAAAGAGCTCAGTACTCAAAAGTCTTTGAGAAAATATTTCAGAATGAAACCTGGATGAGTTACCTTCAACTGAAATTTACTCAAATTGCAGGATGTACTATAAACACGGTCTTAAATTCAACTAACCTGTCCCCCTCTCACTATTAGTGGTTGTCACAATTACTACAGTAAGTTGACAAGCTGCTAAATTTAGCTTAAAAGATACCAGCTGGAGCTGAATTGGTTAAAATAGTGAACATTTGTAGTTTTTGACTTCCAAAAAAAAAAAAAAAACACTTAATTCTCATCTGATTTAACTGAGTAGCAAAAAGCACATATCATCTGTTTCCTTGCCTGGCATAGCAAAAAACTATGGTTAAAAAAAAAAAGCATCACAAGGCTACCTGGAGATGACTCGGTTCACTAGATTGTCAACTAGCATAGAACTGTCACAGTAACACAGTACTGTGGTACAGTTCTTGAATCTAACCAGGGCTCTCAGTTTTACAGGAAGATTAGATCTCAAACTGTGCTTAGGAAATTGCAGCTATTTACATGACCTGGCAGCTGAATTCACTTGACTATGAGATGGCTTTTATAAAAATAAACATTTTATTGAACTGAAAGGTAGTAAGTTAAATAGGTAAATACATTATATTTAAGAAAAAACATCTTTAGGAAAGGAAGTTTCTATTGCCAGCAACAACCTTAAGCAACTAAGAAGATTCCTACCCTCATGATAGTAGGAAATTCGTTTCTTGATAGAATATCTCTATTGCCTTTTACCTGCAGGTTCATTTGCCCCTGTTCTGTGAAGTGGTTTCTCATAAAAAGTTCAAAAAATCTGAAAACTTTTTCACAATCCAGGAATTTTAAAACAGATGCATCATCTATCTTATTTTAGATTCAAGTGCTTGTTATATATAACCATCTTACTGTTTCTTTTGCTCAGTTCTATGTCTGTAACACGCTTGGAACCAGAATTGCAAGCCAAGATCCAAGAGAACTGCCCTGAACTAGAACGTGTATACTTTAATAAAGGACTATAATTCAAGGAGGGGAGAATACCTGTCAAGGAGGACCTTGTGAACTTATTTTTGAATTGTGTGCCAACATAGTTGAAAAGGAAAATTCACTTTTAACTGATCCTTTTGTTAAACAAATTTGATCATCTGCATTATTTTACATTTTAAAAACTTTCCTTGTTGTAGTGTTTAAATTACAAAAGGTCATTTTGTCCACTTTGGTATTGATTAAAAGTTTAACCATACATATCCAAAAAATGTTTACATAAGCTCTCAAGCAGCTACAATAATAAACAAGCACATAAAGGAGAATACTATTACATTGGATTTGCCACCTGTTCCAGTAACAATGGGGCAGGGATCTCTTTCTGAAAAGTCATAGAGCAACTGAACGAAGTTGCCATCCTCTGGCAGCAACAGGACGGGTAGCTGAACGTGTCAGGAGGTTGTGCAGGAAGGGCTTTTTACCAGGAGGTTGGTTAGGTTGTAGGTTTTCCCTGTTGGCACAGAACCTTTTCTTTAAGGTAGACATTGGAGGAGCCTGGAGCTTCTGCACAGTGTGGTACTGCTCAGCAATACAAGCTGCTTTCTTCCGCAGATCCAATTTTACCAGCATCATGTTGTTCTGCAGTTCTGCCAGTGTTTGGTCCTGCAAGAGGAAAGATACTTATATTCATATATTTAGAAATGTGACAAGCCTAACTGCTTAGTTACTATGAACTGAAGAGGAGGATAAACTGCCTTTGCTGAAGTTCACTAACCAGTGTGGCCATACGTAAAGGCTTTTTCTGTCACTAGTATAGCAGTACAATAACAAAATAGAAACAGTAAGGCTAAGAAAGAAATCCCTCCTGCTGCAAACATGTTGCCATAGCAACTATGATGGAGTGCAGTAGATAAAGGAATGAGAGCTGAAATCTCCTACTGATGCAGACCTGGTGCACAGAGACAAGTGACTGAACAGGAACAGTTTGGGTCTCCTTTAGAGAGTTAAATATGCTGCCTGACTCAGCCACTGGAAAGTTAGCAGTATAGCTCCCCTAATACAATAGGCAGTATGTGGCTAGAGGACAAGTCATTTATATTTTCAGCTACAAGAACTTAGATTTATCTGCTGATTATGTCAAAGTGCATAAATTAAGCCCCCTTGCACCTGCAACAAAACAGAACATTACCTGTCTAGCCAGAATGTCATCACATGTAGAGAGGGTTTCTCGAAGTTTCCCAGCACTTGTGCTGTGGCAGCATGCCCTCTCCGCAGACTGAAGAGACTCCCCAAGTTTTTGTAATTCCGAACGCAGCAATCTCACATTCTACAGGAGGGAAGAAAATAATAACAGTTAGCTTTAACATCATTCTAGAAACAGAGCCACTCTGAGGATAACCCAGACATGCAGCATCAAAGGAGATTCATCTGTGCACTGGGATCACAAACACAAACACCTTCTACATCTATGGTAAAGGTTTGTTTTCACAGACCCCTTGCTATCAACCATTCACTTAAAAACCTAGAGACAGAAGCTCCAAATGGTTTTAAATTGGCAACCTCTTTGCCCTGCGAGAGTTCCCTTCTGTAACAGAGATGTAATTACCTTCTGTCCATCCTCCAGCTTCCTGTCTACATCCACAGTAAAGGGTTTGGCAGAGGGAGGTGGCTCCAGTAATTTCTGGTACTTGCGCAGCTCTAGGAATACAGAAGATATAGTGAGCAACAGTTCATTCATAAGCTTTAGATTTTTCTTAAGTCTAGACTCCCCATCAGACAAGCTGCTACAGGCAAGATGAGAAGAGCTTTCAGTTTGTGCAGACATGCACAAGCATTCCAGACTTTTCCCTTTCAGTTAAGCAGAGAGACTCAACATTTTGAGCAGGGAAATGATCCTGCCCTGAAGTGCATCATGTAAAAAAAATGGAGAGGTCCTTCCTGTCCATCCATCAAGGTATTCCTATATTCTACAACTACAAACAGTAGTTATAAGATGTCTGAATCCAATGTACCTTACTGAAAAAGCATCTCTAACCCTCTGGTAAGGATTGTTTGAGCATAATTCAGAGCAAGTGCAGCATCACCACTTTACCTGCTGTTGCTGTATTCAGCTCCATTTGACATTGCTCCAGTTTGGCTTTAGTATCTAGCAGCTCCTGTTGCAGAGCACATGAGGCAGCCACTCGCTTTGATCGACGCAAGCCTTGCTGCTCTGAGTCCTTTTGCGTAGCATCCAAGTTCTCCAATTTTTGTTTTGCTGCCTGCAGAGCAGCTTGGAGCTCCTCAATCTTCTCATCACGCTCCTTAAAGCAAATTTAAGGAAAGGTTAAACAAGATCTTCTTAATACAGCTTCTGCTCCCTGAATTTTTCAGGGTCTTTTTTCCAGGAAACATTCTCAGTAATTCACTTCCCACATTGAACCCAGCAATTAATGTCCTTTAAGTGAAGATATTGAATCTATTTTTCCTGAGAGCCTAAACCACTTTTTCTAGCCTGTTAGCACATTTTGGAGAGTTGGCATCTTCAGATAGGTCTGCAGCAAGTCCCAGAGGCCACTCACACTATGAAAAATAGGGACAGGCTCATACTCATCATCACAACTACAATTAAGAGAAATTCACAGAAATTATCTGAACATTGCAAAGCAAGCCACAGCAAAAAGAGTGAAGGGGGAAAGTATTATGTTGAACAAATCAGGGAATAAAAATGATTACACAGTAGCTTCCAGATTAAGGGCCAAAAATCTGAAACCCAATGAACTACATAATTGGTAAGAAATGAAAGTTGTGGATCAAGTTATCAAGTAATAGGCACAACAGAAACCAAAATCCTTCCTCTCAGCCCGCATAACAGTCACCTTCTTGGACTCAAGTACTCAAGTCCTCTCTCAAGCCACTGCCAGTTTCCTGATGTCATTCCATTCCTGTGAACAAACCTGGATCTCCTCCTGGTAGTAGTCAGTCAGCGACTCCTTCAGGTTATTCAGCTTATCCTCGTACAGTTCCTCCAGCAGCTCCTTCTGGGCATCAACATGTTGGCTACAAAGAGAACGGGCAACTATGTGCATCTCGATCTGGCAGTCCTTGGTGCTGCAGCACACCCTGAACAAAGGGAGGCTGATCCACATAAGCTGTACCTGCACCACTGCTCCTTCTGTTTTATGTGCTCCAGCATCTCGTTGCAGATCTCCTCCCGGAGACGCATTTCTAGTTGCAGCTTCTCCTGCCGCTCTTGCACTAGCAGTTCTCGTGCAGCTTCTACCACACGCAACAAGTCCTGTAAGAAGAAAAAGCACTCTTGCTCGTACTGCACAACAGAACTAAGACCTAGAAGAAACTAGCTGGTCCCATACCTGTAGGCTGGGGTGATCTAGGTTTCAAATGCTTTTAGTCACTTGGGAAAAAAAGTTGCCAGGTTTGCTGTTAATTCATTTCCCATGAGATGTTTTAAACAACACTGAGCTATCTCCTTAGCAGCTTCCTCTACGGCACTGCCCAAGGCTGCACCTGCTTTTGCTGCCTTGACACATGACAACTTAAGTCTCTGTAGGTGTGCGTCTTCCATCCCCCCCAATCTTTCAGCTATTCCAGGTGCCCTGACTATCCAGAAAGTTTAGTTTTCTTCAATTAGCCATCTGTTTTGCTAATTCTGTTCAAAATTTCCCTTGCAGAGAAGAGACTATGGGTCTGCACCTGAGCTCTTCCTGTCCTTATTCCACGGGTGACAAAGTGTTTCAAAATTAAGCATGTACTTCAGATGTAGAACAACTGTGCAATGTCTTCCTCATGGATTCCCAATTTAGTGTTTAAGGTCCCATATCCTTCTGAGGTTCTGTTATTAATTATAGTGCTGAGTTCCAGACCCACCTTCCAGACCAAAGCTAAGTCATGTTCCTGCATCTATAAAAGCTGATGAATAAATCACAACCCACCTCCTTCTCATACATGGAGACATCTGCTTCATCCTCACTGTCCTCTGATTCCACTTCTTCCTTTGCCACTGCCTCCGGACCCTGGCTGGTTCTCCTGCTGTGCTCTTTGATGATTGATTGTATGGATGGCAGTCCCACCTTTGTAGGAGGAGCCTGAACAAGCTGAAAGGGAAAAGGATATCATTACTAGTCCACAAATCCTAGAAGTCATGTAGTCTTTTAACATGGTACTTCTTTACAACTTGTAAAACTTTTCAACACAGCAGAAGCTTTAGTGACTGTGGAGATAGTGATCCACTATAAAAGCACAGGGAAGAAGTGCAAGCATCTTCCCCACCTTGTGATGGGAAGGGACCCGTTCCCACAGAAGCAGGAGGTATCCTGAGCATGTCACAAAGGTCATTTGTTTTACTTACCTGGCTGGCAATGGCTGAGAACTTGGCTACATACAGGGTTTCATCATATGTAGATGCACACTGATTAATGTTGACAATCATGCAAGAGCGCCCACGTCCAGTGAAAAAACCCTGGAACACACGGGTTAGCTTGCTGTCCCGGAAGGGAACCACAATCTGCTTCAATCTATGGGGAGAGACAAGAGTGAGCCCATGGGAAAGCTAAAACAGCCTCCCCACACCCTCCCTGTGAAATTCCAGAGGCTCACTTGGACTGCTGGTTCTGACGGAGGGCAGCAATGCAGCGCCCCAGGGTATGGAGGGAAGTATTAATGTTGTTCGCTTCCTTCATTCGGTCGCCGCTTTTCTGGTCTTTGCAGCGCTCTGACCCCGCGAGGTCACACAGGGAGAGCCTGAAGAAAACACAGATGGTATCACCTGAGCTGCTAGGTTTGTTCTGTTCTCACCAGATTTACAATTCAGACACCTTGCAATCACCTACCCTGCTCACCCTCCCAGCTCCCTCAGGAGGGCAGAGATGGCTCCTTTAGGGAAAATTTGAGCTATTCCTGGACAGAAGGACCTACCCCCACCCAAGTATGAGGGTTAAACAAGATAACACTAATACAGGCTTAGCTGTGACACATTCAAAAATCCTCTGCCAGTCCCCACGACAGCCACTTTCCCAGGCACTGATCCAATTCATTTCCATATAACTACATCTGAGGAACAGGCAGCAGCAGTCAGATCAGCCCCACCACAAGGGCAAGGTTACTCATGTTTACCTTCAAAGAGGCTGGGAAATCTCAAGTTGCACTTGGCAACACTCCTCACAAATTCCTCCACACTATCAGCTGCAGGCCTTAGGAGCGGAAACATTTGCTCCTCCCAAATGCTTCCAACAAGACCTTCTTTAAAATACTTCTGATATCCCAGATCAATAACAGTTAAGAAAGGAAAAAAAGAAATCCTAGCAAGCATGAAACTCACTCGCTGATTTTGGGAACAATTTCACTGCCACCTCCTTGCAAGTGCAGAATCCGAATGGAGAAGACACTGTGACTGTAAAGAAAAATTCAGATATTAAAAAAGGAAATGCAATATTTCAAGTTCCTTAGAACTGTATGTCTGTTAAAAACTTCCCATCCCAGACCTGCGACTGGAGTTCTGGTTCATGTGGGTGCTAGCAAAACTCTGGTTTTTCCGACCCAGTTTCAGAAGCTTCCAGGCCTCATCAGCATCACGGACATTGATCCAGTTTAGATCTGGAAAAGCAGGCATGCATTGAGCAAGGCAGTTAAGAGACTGCAGCAGTTTCCTGATGCCACCAGGGCCCACATAGTGGGCTACTCTAAATATCTTCCAGTCAAATCTACCTTTCACATAGGGGTTGCCAGTCTGGTCTTCACAGAGCCGCAGTGTCTGCCTCTTGCGGTTCTGGCCAGGTGGAGTTGGTTCTAACAAGTCGTAGATTAACTCATTGTAAATCTCAAAGAAGGAGACCCAGATGGAAAACTGCACATCTCCCGTGGTGGTGGAGAGCGAAACACGATCTAAGTCAGCCCAGCGAGGGCCCAGTTCTGAGCAGGAGGGAAGAAAACAGAAATGATTGCAGCCTTTCACTGGTTCAACCTGAATGGTTCAGGTCAAGGCTGAGGTGTCTTTCTTCAGCAGGAACACAATCCCAGACTGACATCTATTCTATGTGCATCCTCCCATTTAGGGCTACATTAATGTCGATGTCCAGTCAGACAGCCTAAGGTTCCCTTTAACAGTATTTTCCTTTGTGTGTAAGGATTTATACTTGGTCTAAACTCAGGAAGCACAGGATACTGCACACAGAACTCTTCCTGGGATAAATGGAGTCTTAGTGCTTGTCACCTCAATCACTCCCTGCTTCTGGATGTCTCATCAGCTAGCAGTTCCTGTTTCTCTATTTGACAATCTGGCACCAGTGCTCAGTGCAACATGTCGCTTTGGCACTGTGCTTTCCAGCAACCTCCACAGCATGGCAGTCAGCTGCTCCATAACCACTTCTCATGAATCAAGTGGGTGTCAAGTAATTTTTCATTTCACATCTAATCATTAATTAGTGGTGAATTCTTCATATGTTGATAAGACACATACAAAGTTCCACAGCCCACAGATCCCTATCTTCCAAAGGGTAAAATCTGAGGGACTACAACACCTTTTCTCCCTTACCCCACAACACAGCATCCAAGTAGCTATTGCCTTTTCTTCCCCCATCCTCCAACAACAAGCAGCAGGTAGTACATACCTTCTGTCTGGCTGATGTCTGAATGGCTGGTAAGGTGGCTAGATGAAGAGAGGCCGGCAACTCCACTGTCAAAGCTGCCACTGGTGGTGGCCTGGAGCTGAGATTCAGCACTGTGACTCCTTTTCAGTGGTGTTAACAGCTCCTCCTGCAAGGAAACAAAGAACATGACCATGTAGTATGACACCATCCTTTCCCGACAATTATTAAGCCTCCTAGAAGCGACATGCTTACCTCCCACGGACCTCCCCGCAGCATGGTTTGTTTCTTGGTCTCTTCCTGCCGAACCTGCCTGCTGTCCAGCCAGATCACCTCATTGGAGAGCGAAGGCTTCAGGTCCATGGCTTGGTACAGCCGGTCCCCCACGCTATTGAAGATGACTGCTAAGGAGCGAGGCAGAATCCCACCATCTTTGATGCTACCTGAAGCAACAGCAGCAGCAAGCTGAGGATTCAATGTGAATGTAGAAGCACAGAACTTCCTCAACAGGCTAGTAACCTCACACTCTCCTTACCCTGAATGGTGTGAGTCTTCCCTGAATTGGTGATCCCATAGGTGTAAACCAGCCAGTTCTGCCCATCCAGTACATCCTTTACCACCTGTTTCATTGTCTCATCAAAGAACAATTTCTGCCCCACGTCTGGTCCAAAAATCTGAAACAGAACACATGAAAAATGGCCTCATGTAGGTATTTCCTACCTTTTGAATGCATGTGATTGCTCAAGAAATAACAGTTAGTCCTTAGTTCCCCTTCCATGTCCCCTACATTATGAAAAAGCCCACTAGTAATTCCAGTCCAAGCCCTCTACAAACACACTGGTTTCACTTGCTTAATGTAGTAATATGCAGTATTAGTACAGCTTTTAGCATGTTTAGAGCTTCATAAGCAAAATAAGAGTTTGGCATTTGCTTCTGAAAGGGTTGGCAGGATCAGACTAAAAAAAGGAAATTAAGAAACAGCTACAAAAACAAGTAAACTGTATAGGAGAGCATGGTTCACAGAAGTACTATTATGTAAGCCAACTTTTCAAGCTGCACTACTGGTTTAAGCTCAAAAATCTTCCAAACAGATTGTCCTGCCCCAGTTACCTACTTGAGTGAAAGAGAACCTATGTGCTGCTTGTCCCACTCCGCGTTCTGTGCTCCGCATGGTGAAGGAGTCCTTGGGGGCTCTTAGAAGAAGAGTCTCTGAATTCTCAATGCAGACACAACCCTGAAAGAACAAGTAAAATCCATCATTTCAATGGCTCACAAGATGCCATGGCATAGAGAGCAAAGGAAGATAGGTGTCCCAGCAGGCACGCAGGCACCTAGCTCAGAGACTGCTCCATTCAGCATCTCACCTGGTCTTCACCTTTCTCCAGCTCTGTAGATTTCAGAGGTCGAACTCTCAGATACACCTTTAATTTCCATTAACATCTTCAGTGGCAGCCTGCAAAATCAGCACAGATTAAGCACGCTAGCCAGAGAGGCAGTACACAGCTGCGTGGAAGACACTCAGCTACCCTGATGCACTGATCAGTAGTTAATGGATGCTGATCTTGACACCAGTGAAGCAACAGCATACGATAAGCCTTCTGACACGTTTCCACATGCACCAACTGCCCTTTTGTTTACATAGTGAATCAGACAAAGAACCCAAAGACCTGACACCAAGTCCAGCCCCACAGATAAGCACCTCACGGGGAGGCCCCACGCTAACCACAGCTCCCACAGGCACGCTGCTCATAACAGACGCGGCTCCCCCCAGGCCAACATTTCATCCCCGGCTCTTTTGCAGCGTCCCCACTGGCCCTGCACTGCAAGACCCTGCACCCACACGTTAGGACAGGGCCCTGTGTGTGCCAAGGGAGCTCCGGCCTCACCTGCTGCGAGCCCTCGAGGTTGGGCGAGATGGCGGAGAACTCGGACAGCAGCGCCTTGCGCACGTCGGCCCCGAACCCCGCTGCGGTGGACTCGAGAACGGGCGAGGGAGCGGCCTCGTCGTCGGAGAAGAGCCCGGGGGAGGCGAGGGCTTGCGCCATAGCGGCCGCTGCGGAGCGGGGATGTGCCGAGGGGACCGGCGCCGGCTCTCCTCACACGGTCCCTACCGAGGGGGCTTCTCCGCACGCACGTTATTACCGCCGGTGCCCGCCTCGGGAGGACCCAGCCTCCTGCCCGGCCCCGCAGCCGCAGCACTGACCCCCACCGCTCCAGCCCCACCACCCTCCTCTGAGCCGCGCGGTGTCCGCTGCTGCGGTTTCAAACCTCGCCGCCCGCCCGCTCCACCAATGGGAGCCCGCGCCCTCGAGGCAACCAATGAGAGCCGGCGGTTGAGGAGGAAGGGGCGGGGCTTAGACCCGCGCGGCCGCTCCTCGCGCTGAGGGCCGGGGAAGGCCGTGCGCATGCGCACCCCTCCCGGCGAGCTGTGCGCGCGGCTCCGCCCTGAGGCGCGTTGGGGCCGGGCGGGGAAGATGGCGGCGGGGACGGGCAGTGAGTGCGGGGGGGCGGCGAGAGGGGCGGCGGGGAGCGGGTGGCGGCGGCGGAGGGAACGGGGGGGCGGCGGGAGGGGGCTGGGAGGGGGCGGGAGGGCGGCGCGGGGGGGGCCTGAAGGGCCTGAGGGGCGCTGAGGGGAGGGGGCGGGGCTAACGGCTGGGGGCGGGGCCTAAAGTGAGGTGGGCGGGGCTAGCGGTGGGCGTGGTCATGTGGTGGGCGTGGCTACTGGGTGGGCGTGGCCTCCGGCCCGCCGGCGGGGTGCGGAGCTGGGCTGTGTCCCCGCAGAGCACAAGCTGCTGGGCGCCGGCCCCACCGAGCCCTGGTCCATCCGCGAGAAGCTCTGCCTGGCCTCCTCCGTCATGCGCAGCGGCGACCAGAACTGGTAAGGGTCCGGGCACGGCGGCTCGGCCTCCTCCCCGTGTTCTTGTTCGCAGCACAGGCGGAGGTGTTAAGGGTGGAGGAGTCGGACACGTGGCTTGGAAATCGGCTTGGTTCTTTTGTAACTGCTGCATAGGACTGCATTAGTTAGGGCAAAAAACGTGTCCATAAATTGGGAAGGTTGTGGTCCAGAAGTCCATTTATCAAAGCACCTCTTTGCATCACTGCCACACTCGTAGCTTTGTTTTTGCACTCGTAGCTTTGTTTTGCTGTCTCACCAAAGAAAAGTTTCTGTTTGTGGACATGTAACCACGTCACCAGAAGCTGGAAAGTTGCACTTCAAAGCAATAGAGGGAAGCTGTTGGTTTAGGAGCAGGCAGATATTTTTGAGCCCAAGGGCTATATGTGAACAATCCTTTAAAAAAAAAACTCCATCACGGCAACTCCGCTGTGTTTATGGGGATTATTCTGTGATGAACATCAGGACAGGTCAGCATATTTGCACAGCATGGTGGTTGGGTTAGGTTGGTTGGGTTAATGACTCGCCATGCATGACTCTCCTGCATCATGTGTGTGACTCTCCTGCAGGGTCTCAGTCAGCAGAGCCATCAAGCCTTTTGCAGAGCCAGGCCGCCCACCTGACTGGTTTTCCCAAAAGGTAAGATACTGGCAAGTGAATTCTGGAGAAAATGAGTTCTATATGGGATGTGTAAGACAGCTGCATAAGATGATGTTGAAGTTTTTTGTTGGTGTTAAAAAAGTTTGAAGAAATAGCAAAATCAATTTTTAAAGAATAGCAAAATCAATTTTAAAGAAAATGTTCAAATCAGATTAAGTGAGCTGTGGATAAGGTTGGATAAGTTAAAGAAAAAGACAAGGATGATCAAAGACTTGAAAGAGCTTCCTTGTAAGGGAGCAGTAGGTAAGGTGGAACCTTTCAATGAAAGAAAGAGATGACTAACAAGAGAAACAACAGATGTCTGTACAGTCAGGAGTGGCATGGTAAGGATGAATGAGTCTTAATTGTTCAGTGCCATGTCCAATGCAAGATTTAGAGGCTATTAAGTAAGACTAACAGGAGGCAAGTTCAAAGCAAAACAAAAGAGGCTGTTCTGTGCCAGGCACATAATCAAGCTGTGGAATTGTTTGCCGTGGGGATTTGTGGATGCCCTTGTATTTTGGTGTGTCCAGCTCTTTGGTCGAGCATCTGGGATTTTTGTTATATAATGACCAGGAAGAGATAAACAGAATATACATACCTCTTTACCTGTGTGTGTGTGCAGACATATATGTGTAACTATTATTATTTTAAATGTTGCTTACTGTTTTCTTAGTTCTCTTAAGCTATGAACCAAGTTTTGGCATAATGCTACCTTCTCCACTGAAGTATTTTTGATTCATGTTCGCAGACAGCTACAGTTTTTCTAATCACTTTTGCTTTCTTTGATTTCTAAATTGTTGCTTGGGAATGTCTGTTCTTTACCTTTGTTTTGAAGATCAGCTTGGGCAGTGCTAGAGTAAAAGAGTGAATGTGTCTCATCATTTTGACATACACTAAGTTATAGCTTTGGGGAAAACTGTGGAGAAGACTGTCAGATATGTTCATACAGCGTTAGACTTTTGAAAGGGGAGGTGCCCTGTAGGTTTTGTTGATAGGCATTTGCTGATGCTTATTCTTTGGTATCCTCTGACTTTTTTTTGTTTCTTCTTAGCATTGTGCATCTCAGTATTCAGAGCTGTTGGAGACTACAGAGACCCCTAAGTAAGTACGAAGCCTGAAGCAAGTGCAGTCTGCAGTAGTTTTGAGTGGACTTGTCAGTTCCTACAGCAAATCACTTGATAGTGCTCTTCCCCAAGAGGAGTGAACAGGAATGATGAAATTTAATTGTGATAACTGGCTTGGGTGGACAATGGGATTGGGGTATGGCAGATGTGGAAGGCTGGCTCGATAGGAAAAGCAGCTAGCAAGCAAGCTCAAAGTATTTCTTAGACCACACTTTCCATATTTCTTTATCTTGTCTCTTTTGTTTTGGAACTTCACATCAAATGAAATTAAAGGCAGGGTATTTAAAAGTAGCATTTATTTATGTTAGTGCTGAATGATCTTTAACAGTATAGTTGAAGGACAAAGGACATCGTAGACTTACTGAGAAAAATACAGGTTTTATTGCGGCTCTGAAGCTGAATGATGGGTTTTTCAGGTTGAGAGTTGTAGTGGGCTTCCATCTTTGATCTATTCCTGAAGTCTTTAACTGGATACATTTAGATAAACTTTTCAGTTTGGATTTTTTGAACACTGTGCTTTCCAGTATTATTTAAGGGAAATTGGAAGAGGGGGGTTGGTTTTGTGTGTGGTATGAATGACCTGCAGCAGCCAGGTATGGAAGAAGAACTCAGGTTTTCTGTTTAATGACTGTTTTGTTTTTCTCTTGTTCTATAGGAGAAAACGTGGTGAGAAAGGAGAGGTGGTGGAAACTGTGGAAGATGTTATTGTGCGGAAACTGACTGCAGAACGAGTTGAGGAGTTGAAGAAAATTATTAAAGAAACACAGGAGAAATACAGGTGTGTGGCAGAGGCATTAGCTGTGGTGTACCTGAGAGTCCTGTCTTGAAAAAGTGGCATAAGTGGAGCAATGTTTGGGGTAAAAATGCACGGAACAAGAGCTTCTCAGTGCATGCTGTTCAGTGATAAGTAGATAAGAAGATTTTATGCTTACAGGCAACTCAAGAAGGATGCAGAGCTGATCCAGGCTGGACACATGGATAACAGACTGGAGGAGCTGTGCAATGAGATTATGATGTGGGTTATTTTCTTATTTCCACATTACGTTTTCTTCTGAGATTGTAGTTCTCTGATGCTTTGTGTTAGGCTTTGTGTTTGTGTTACTTTTACTCAATGCATTTTGAGCTGAGAGAGATAGGGCAGCTGGGCAGATGCTTTGGCCTCTGAGGGTTGTCCTAGATAGACTGGGGGACACCAGCTTACATGGAACATCTTTTGCAGCTCTCAGAAAGAGCTTGGTGATGGCTTGCAACATCTTGCTTGCCTCCTCCATTTTGATAATCATCTGGAACTGAAACTTCCTGCAAAGTGCATTATTCTCTGACTGGCCTCTGACTCTGCTTTCCTCTTCAAAGAAATGAAGCCTGAGTCCGCAGAGGCAGTTCATTGTTGTCTGGAGATTAAGGGGTAGGGGCCAGTAAGCTGATTGTGGGGGAGAAGCTAAGGGGCAGTGGGACACTGTGTGACAGTTGGTTCTGTTTACAGAAAGAAAAAAATGGAGGAGGAGGAGGCAGAAGTCAAGAGGAAGGCTACAGATGCTGCTTATCAAGGTAAGCTGGAAATGTGCTTACACCTCCTCAAAGAGAGGTGCATATGTTTGTAAGATCACTCGGGAAATACTGCATCTTGTTAAGACCTGTTCAGGAGGAATTCCTTTACCTTGGGGGCTGGAATGAAGGATCGTGTTCTCTTTAGAGCAAAATACAGGGGCTTCTGATAAGGAAACAAATTCTGTAGAAAAGGTGTATGTAAGAGGAAGAAGGATTTGTTCTGAATGCTTCATCCATTTATGGTTTCTGGAGCAACTTGGTGAGCTAACTTACCAGTGATGGGATGTGGTGAATACCCAACTGCTAGGAAGATGTGAAATTAAAGTGCTTTACACCTTACTAGTACTATCTGTGAGTTGAGTGTAGTGTGATGTGGGAAATTCCTACCGTATAAATTGTTTTCTTGGTGGTTTTTAGGACAAAGTCAGAGGTCTCAGGGACTGTCCAAGGTGGATGGAGTCGTGGAATCCCACTTTTTTTTCTGTTCTCTTCCAGCTCGTCAGGCCATTAAGAATCCGCCACGAAGATTAACGGGTGTGATGGTTCGCTCCCCTGCAGGTTCAACCTCTCCAGGGGGAGACTATGCTCTGGGAGATCTGTCTCAGCCTGCTGTGGATGAGGCCAGCCCGGGGGTAAGAATACTTCCCATGGTAAGAGGGGAAGAGCAGCTGGGGACACGAGCTCTGCATTCATCATGGAACAGCAGCCTGGGGAGAAGCCCCTGCCGTGTTTTGCAGACCTTTTGTTGTGGCAGTGCTGTAGTGTGGCTGATGTACAGTGCTGCTAAAGATACGTGTCCCCTTCCCTGTCTGTGACCATCAGGTGCCTGGATCAAAGGCTGTGTAGGGGCATCAGTGGGTTGGCCAGGAAGGCTTCTGTGTGTGCCTGGGAAGTGGCACTAAAGGGCAGGGAAAGGGTAAAAGCAAATGCCTGGAGTAGGTGTAGCGAGTGAATGGAGAAGGTGGCTGTGGTGTGCTGGCTCAATGCTCTTGGGGGAAGGAGCAAGTGGGACTAGTCCGTGTGTTGGAGTGTGGCTTTGAACAGTGTGGTTTTTCTCTTTCTCAGGTCACTCCAGGGACATTGCCCAGCACCCCAGTTGCCTCCTTCATTGGAATCCCTGACACCCCTCCAGGCTCTGCTCCCCTGGATGCCCCCATGACCCCAGTCACTGATGATTCACCCCAGAAAAAGATGCTAGGACAAAAAGCAACTCCGCCTCCTTCCCCTCTGCTCTCAGAGCTGCTGAAGAAGGGCAGTCTCCTGCCCACAAGCCCCAGGCTGGTATGGAGCTCTCTGCTCATGTATGCAAGCACACAAACAATCTGCTCCAGACTCTCCCACTAAAACAGGGGGAGCCGCAAAGGCTTCTTAAAAACACAGTTCTGTGAGAATCTCAACAGAAGAGAAATATGAGAGATTTAGTAACCCTTGTGAAGCCACAGAGGTGGGACTCTTTCCTGACAGTAGTGTGGGTGCAGGGCTGCAGGTGTCAGTCAGCACATAGGACTGGCTCTCTAGTCACAAGGAGTTGGAATTGCAGGCTTTGCTAGAGGAAATGGCTCTCACTGCAGGTGCATGTTAGTAGGCATCATCCCAATTGGCCTCCATCGAGGTGCTCTTGCTGAGTTCTCCTTTGGGCTCACAGTTCTTGTTTACATCCTGGTAGGGAGTTGTGTTTCAGTATTTGTAGTGGGTCTTAGGATAGGGATAGGCAGTCCTTTAATAAAGTTTGTGAGCACTATTGAAGTGCTTCAGTCTTCTCCTCATTGCAAAATGGCTGTGATGACGAGTCATTTTGGCCCTTCTGGTGTTAGTGATTGTGGAAGTCTGAGAAGGGCAACCATCTCTGACGTTGTTCAGAGCCCTGTTCTGAAAACTGCAGCCATCAGCCTGTGCACATTGATGCCCTGTGTTAGTGCTCATCTGATGGAATAGGTGTATTGCTGTTGACCTTCTTTTAATAACTCATATTTGGGGTCTTCTCTGTTAGTTTGCGTAAATGCTCCACGGGTTCTGTGTTTGCAGGCTGAAATGTGAGATAGGACATAACAAGAAAAGAAAAGTGGAAGGCTTTGGGCTTTCTTTGTATCGACAGGGCTGTTTTGTATCTGCTTCAGGGTCTGTCACAGGTTTACATTGTGACCTTGACAGAGTTATTCTCCGTCTTCCTGCTTCGGTTTCCCTCAGCTAAAAATAAAGGAAAACTCTTTGCTATTTTAGGCGTAGATACACTAACACTACTGGTATCTGTCACAGGTTGTAAGGTCTTTGAACAGAGAAACTAAGGTAGAACAAATTTTCCATTGGGCTTAACTTAAAGGAAGTTTGCACCATAGCTGTATTGTGGCCTGAGAAGTTTCAGACTGTTGTCCACTTGCATAAGGGGCCTCAGGCAGGAACTAAAAGCACAGAAGAAATGCTGAGACAGTGAGTGATGGACAAATCCATGAAGGAGCATATCTGGCAGAGAATCACTGATGTGATTGTATCTCCAGGAACTTCAGTTGTGTCTTCCCTTGGCAGGTTGGTGAAAACGAAATGGCAGTGGCTTCTGGTCACATGAACAGCTCGGGAGTCCTGCTGGAGGTAGGAAGCGTCCTCCCAGTGCTGCACAGTGGGGAAATGCAGTCGGCACCTGGTGCTGTCCCTGCATCTCCTGCTGCTTCAGGTAACTCCCAAGGACTCTCCCTGTACAGTTCTCCCCTCAGAAGTACGCGAGGCTTTAGCAATTTTACACTTGTGTGCCATAATTTCACAGACTGCTGTATGAATTCTCTTTGGAGAGATGAAGGACATCTACCCTGGCTGGTTTGGGGGCTTTATGAATTCTATTGCTATTTCTGTACCCCTGTCCCTTTCCCCTTTCTTTTTCCTAAGAAGACTCTAATTCTCACAGGAGAAAGAAAAGTGCCTTGATCTAAAATGACTGAAACAGATTTGATTTGGCCCTGGTGCATCCAGTCCAGTTTTCTGGGTTTGACACTGGCTAATACCAGGCATTTCGGTGCCTAGTTGACATCTAGTTGACAGGGAGCTGGAGCAAATTGGGTGTACTGTCTAATTCTTAATCTGCCTATATTTCAGTTCCCTGTGAACCTGAAGACCTCATTTGTTTTACCTCCACTTTAGCTCAGGGGTGTGTTGAGGATTAGACTGCAGTAGGTTGTGAGTTTTGGAGCAAGTTCCATAGGCGGGGTGAGAGGAACAATGCAGGAGTCTCTGCACTGGACCTTCTCAGAACATCCTGCCTAAGAATGAAGTTTCTCCTCAGCTCACAGTAACAAGGCGTTAGTCATGTGTCTCCAAAGGAGGTTTTACACTATTCATTCATATATAATTCTAAATGAATAATCTCACCTTCCTTACGCATCTCTGTTCTTTAAGACCAGTTATTTTGGTCCAGATGGTTCAGTAAATTCAGACTGGAAGGTACGGCTGGGTGGCAACCTCCGATAGAAAAGGCAGTCTCCAGGAAAGACCTGCAAAGAGATTCCTTTTGCTCCCTTCCACCCCTGTCATGATTGTTTGTCTTGGCTTACGTTGTGTGGCTCTCTCAGCACTGGTTTCCAGATTTCATGTAATTACATTGGAATGAGCCTTTGGGAGGGTATCTCTGCATGTGTGGCTTAGCCTGTCTGGCCCTTATGTTGGGCACTGTCCCAGAGCCTGCATGATCCTGTCTGAGACTGCACACCCCAAAGAGTCATGCATTTTTGGTGCAGGTTCTCCGTGTAGCTTTTGGGAACGTTTCTAGGTACTTTTCCCAGAGGAAGCCAGCAGACATTGAAGAGCCCAGCGCTGGCTTTGTGGACGTCGGTGTTGGCTGCTTCTTGCTCATGTGCTTTTCCCTTCTACTCTCTGTTAGGTGCTCCTACGCTTTCCCGGCTTTTAGAAGCTGGTCCTGCGCAGTTCACCTCACCTCTTGCTTCCTTCTCCGCTGTTGCCAGCGAACCTCCAGCTAAGCTCCTGCCACCCCCAGTAGAGCCTGTGTCGCAGGCAACAATTGTCATGATGCCCACGCTGTCAGCACCATCCGTTGTGCCACCAGCTGCAGCTCCAGAAAGCGTAGCCACAGGTGCGTTCCTGAACTACGCACTCACAGGTCATGCACTGCTGGAAAACAGAACTTCCCTTGGGCTCAGCACCCAGGAAGCTCTAAGCTGGCGTTTTATCACCTCAGACTCACCATCCTTTCTGAAAGAACATTTACGGCTGAGTTCTCAAGTAAACAGATGGTGAAGATGGGATTTAAATGGGATTTGCTGGGTGGGGGTGCTAGTGGTGTGTTTTCTGGATTGTGATTCAAGGGCTGATTCAAGGCCTGGAGTCTCACTTTGTCTCTACCGTGGGAAAGCAAACATGTCACCCATAGTTGTCTTTTATTTTTCTAAGTCATGCTGTTGTGGGTGGAGCTGGGATGCCTGCAGTTGGTGCTTGGTCTTAACCACTGTGATATTTGCTTATGATTGTCGTGCTCATCCTTGCGCAGTGAGCCAGCCCGAAGCCTGTGTTTCCATGGAGGCAGTGTCTGATTCCCATACAGTGACGGTGGCCATGGACAGCAGCGAAATATCCATGATCATTGACTCCATCAAGAAAGAGTGCCTGGGTTCTGCAGCTGGCAGCACTGCAGGCTCTTCCAAAGATCACTGCATGGATGGGAAAGAAGACCTGGATTTGGCTGAGAAGATGGATATTGCGGTGTCCTATACAGGGGAAGAGCTGGACTTTGATACTGTTGGAAATATCATAGCCATCATTGAGGACAAGGTAAAGAGGCAAAATAGAGGGCCAGTAGCTTTTGCTCCTCATCAAGTTAGGTTATTCTCAAGTGATTACTGCTTGCCAATCTAATACATTTAAATGAGGAAGAAATAACTATTGCAAATTGCTCATTTTCACAATCCCTGCCCAGGTCAATAGGAAATGACCATATGACACCCCTGCTGGTAGTCTGCCGTGACTAGCCTGGTGCTTCACTCAAAGTACAGAAAGAAATTTCTTCCTCATGTTGGGTAGGGTTTGGGTCACAGACCTGGCAGACAAGTGAGCACTGCTTGCAGCGTGCTTTCCATGAGAGCCAAGTTCCTGAAACTGAAACTCTACAGGGAGTGATGGGAGTCTGGCTGCTAAAGGTGATTTTGTAAAGCCAGTACACCAAGTTTTCCACAGTTAACTTGTTACTAAATAACGCTGATTCTTTTTTAATCCCTCTTTCTGACCTTGGCCTGCACTTCTGTTTGTTTGTTTTGACAATAAAGGTAGACGACAACCCAGAAGTCCTGGATGCAGCGGTTGTTGAAGCTGCTCTGTCTTCTTTTTGCGAAGATACTGATGACCCACAGGCCCTGCCTGGCCCATGGGAACACCCAATTCGTCAGGAGCACGAGAAACAGGCCCAGATACCCCAAGTGTCTGTGACTGTGAAGCAGGAAAGACTGGAATGTGAGGAGCCAGAGGCAAAGGGAATTCGAGAGCTAATGGGCATTGGAGAGCTGGGATCAGAAATAAAGACAGAACCTGCAGAGCAGGAGCAGAATCAGCTGGGCGCTGAGGAAACCATACCGGCAACTGCAAGAGTGACAGAAACACCAGAGCTTAGGAGTCAAGAGATAGAAGAGGATCAAAGAGCAGCTGTGGCAGCAGGAGAGAGTGCTGAAATTGAGATAGAATCGACCAAGGGAGAAGACACGATGCACGGCACGGTGAAGACAGAGGTATGTGAGCAGAGGCTGCCTGGAACTGGTGTGGGGAAGGAAAGGAGCAGTTGTGGCAGGCAGGAAAGTTTAGAGAAAGGGTGACTGCTGGGCTGAAGGTGACCCTTCCATGAATGTGGCTGGCTGTTTCCTTGGGAGTCATGCTGCTGATCTGTTCGATCTGCAGGGAAGCTCTCTGCTTCAGGCAGTGCCTTTCTGTATCTCCCACCACCCATGTGCAGAATTGCTGTTGGGAAGGTGCTCAGTGAGCTTCATTGCCTTGAGTTAGGTTAGGGTGAGTGAGATGTGCCCACACCTTCACTGAAGTAAGCTGACACAAACATCTAGATTTGTGCATTTCTCTTCCCTCCAGACCCCACCTGATGATGATTCATCCCCTCCACAAGTCCCAAATGTGAGTGAAGACTCCTCACAGGCTGATGTTCAGCACAAATTTGAGCTGTCAGGTAACTTAATTCAGCTAGGAAATCTTTTACATGCAACATTATTAGCTGGATAGATGTCAGTGATCTGGTTCAGGTGTTTTGGGGTGGAGGGAGAAAACAAGATATGTGTAGGAATAGTGGTAATTACTGCAGGACAGTAGGCTTTGGTACAGGAGCTTTTGTAGGAAAGACTGCTTTGGAGAATCATAACCTTTTTGCTTTTCTTCCTTCCACAGACTCAATGAAGGAGGAAGCCCGAGCCCTGTTTAGGAGCCAGATGAAGGTAATTCTGAATTGGCTGTACTCATCCTGTCTACTTTGGGGTTCATTCTTGCTTTCTGGCTCCTATCCACTGAAAATCAAAGCCTGCTTCAGCTTTCTGCAATGGAAAGTCGTCAGTGTGAGGTCAGGAGCTAAAGGGGAGATTGCTTCAGGCCCTGTTCAGCTGGGCATCAGTGTTTCTGTGTTTATGTTAGGGTGGTGGGAGGCAGGGCAGGATAGTGACCAGAATTTTCTGGACATGCCTGTAGATAAGGTTGTCAGTAGCTGTAGTAAAAAAGTCACTTTACTTTCTGAACTCTAATTTCTCTGGACACTCTGAGTTGCTGCTGTAGTCGGCTGCATAGACTCATGAACTCTTTGTTTCAGGATGGGCAGGGTGAAGAGGATGATGAGGATGGTGCCAGTGAGGCTGCCAGTTTGGAGGAGCCCAAAGAAGAAGATCAGGGTGAGGGATACCTGTCAGAGATGGATAACGAACCCCCTGTGAGTGAGAGCGACGATGGCTTCAGTGTCCATAACGCACCTTTACAGTCGCACACGCTAGCCGACTCCATCCCCAGCAGCCCGGCCTCCTCACAGTTGTGAGTATCCGTGAAACTCTATCATGCAGGTGCAAATCCCAGGCTGTTTTGTGGAGGGAACATAGGATTCTCATTTCTGTTTTGCTGACTGAGTGGGTCCACAGAGGGAATTTGATTTGTCTGGCACTAGATTCTCCTTACTCACAAGTGCAGTGTGCAGACAGTGCACTCATGAGTAAGATTCCTTTTTTTTTATTTCTGTCTCTGGCAGGGGTTAGTGTAGGTATAGCAAAGGCAAAATAAACTAAGGTTTTTCTGCTTCAAGGCAGTAAGTATGGAGACTTATGATGGATGTCTTACTTTTTTTTTTCTCAGCTCAGTGTGCAGTGAGGATCAGGAAGCAATACAGGCCCAGAAGATCTGGAAGAAAGCCATCATGCTAGTTTGGAGAGCGGCAGCTAATCACAGGTGAGTTTGATGTCTTGAGAATTGGCAGAAGGAAGTAAATAATCCCAGACAAGCCTGTACTCTCCCATCTCTGAGGCTTACCTGGCTTGTAAGGGTAATGGGGAGATGACGAATCAAATTGTTGCTGATAGCAGACAAACATGACAGCATGAAACAAATATTTGAGGATTGTTCCTTTATCAGCAAGGATAGGGCATTCAGTAGATTGTTTCTCTCTGCAGGTATGCTAATGTCTTCCTCCAGCCTGTGACTGATGATATAGCACCAGGCTACCACAGTATTGTGCAAAGGTGAGTCTCAGCAGTCTCGTGTCATTAGATCTCTGGTATATTTGTGTAGGAATTTCTGGCAGGAAGGTCCAGTCTTCATCTGTAATTCAAACTGCAAGACTTGGCATCTTGCAGTCAGAAACAGATTTCCCTAAGAAAAGAGTCATCTTCAGATCTTCAGTAATAGACACAAGTCTTTACCCAGCCCTGTCCTTGAATGAAGTAAGCTGACTTGCACAGAACGTTTTTTGTCAGTAAGGTAGTATGTGACTATCATCAGGTTCTCAGTTTTTGTCTGGGAGTAGAGTTTAATCTTTGAGACTCCAAAAACTTTGATGGAGCTCTTTTACTGTCTCAGACAGTGGACTTTTCTGGAAGAGTTAACAGAACCCACTGCTAGCCTCAGAAATCTCTGTAAACAGTTCAATGGCTGCAGCTCTAGTTCTCTATTATCTCCCTCAGTGATGCCTGGAGAAGACAAATGTCTCTCAAGGCATCTGTTATGTACTGTCACCATTTATGGTAACTGCTGGACAGCTTGTGTCTCCTGATTTGAGGCCTTGGAACTCAGGAACACAGCCTATGTGGGGGAGAAGATATTCTGCCAATTAAATAGATTGTCTAATTAGACATGTCACAGACCCAAGGCTGCTTGCAAATGACAGGGGAAAGAGGTAGGTATGTCTGTTGCTATGCTGAATGCATTTCTTTCATAGGCCAATGGATTTATCTACAATCAAAAAGAATATTGAGAATGGGCTGATACGAACCACGGCTGAGTTCCAACGTGATATTATGCTGATGTTTCAAAATGCAGTTATGTACAACAGCTCAGACCATGATGTGTACCACATGGCTGTGGAGATGCAGCGAGATGTCCTGGAGCAGATCCAGGTAAAGTACTGAGCTGAGACAGGAGCAGTACAGAACAGAGCATCTGCTTTGGTCCGCAGGTGTAGGAAACACTTGTGGATATAAGACCACACTTTCACTCACAGGGACTTTGAATTAAGTAGTCCCATTTTTCCTGCATCTGTCTTGTGCTAGGTGTTTGTGGTGAGCTGATTGTGGATAGGTTAAAATTACACAGTAAAATGTCAGTTAGGTTCAGCCCAGACCAATTTCAAATCTAATTTCCTTCAGGGGATGTAGATATGCTTAGGCCAGCAAGAAGCAGGGCGTGGTTCAGGAACAGAAACAAGCAACAAGATCAGTGAATGACAGGGGACGCGATTGCTTCTTTTGGTGGCTCTGCTGGCTTAAAGTGTATATGAAACTAGCCTGTGAATATGATTTAAAATTCCTTACGAAGTGGAATGTCCCAACAGCCAGGGCTAACACAGTTTGCAATGGATTTTTATAGTCCCTCCAGACTTGTGGCTTCTGAGGTAAATGGGGGAACTTACTCTGAGCAGCAAACAAGGAACTGAAACTGCCTCTGACCCAATCATTCCCAGCCCTGTGGTTTTTGATGGTTAAGTGACAAGCACTAACTGAGCTTGTTTTGCTTGAGAATCTTAACAGAGTGTGGTTTTCCTGCAGCAATTTCTGGCCACGCAACTGATCATGCAAACATCAGAGTCGGGGATCAGTGCAAAGAGCCTGCGTGGGCGAGACTCCACTCGCAAGCAAGATGCTTCGGAGAAGGTGAGAATGCTGCACCCTGCAGAAGGGCAGTTGGTATCTTTTGGAGAGTTTCGAGATACTGCATGAAGTTCCCATAAAAAAGATGTGCAAAATGTTTTTTTGAGATCAAAATAGCTTCAACATCTTCATGTGAACAAACAGTATTTTTCTTTAAATGTGTCCACTGACTAGATTTCAGCTCTGGAGCTGTGTGTCATCCCAGAGGCAGGTTAATAATCATGAGTTACTCCTGTAACCCCTATGTTTGTTCCCTGATTTTAAAAACAAGTATATCAAAACTGTAGGGAAATGAGTAGACTATCAGAAGAAGTGGGATATGGCAGGAAGGTGAAAATGTAGAGATCTGGAAGCCCAGCCTCTGCCGTGTTCTTCACTTCCAAGTCAAGTTCCTAGAACCAGGGAATTACTCCAGTCTGGTTTGCTGTTTAAAACACACTATGGAACCTTTGACTTCCACACTGATCTGAACTAATAGCAGTATAGATTTTTTTTTTACTTTTTTCTTCTGTAAAGATGCATCTATGATTACATGACCTCACATGCTCTCAGCTGGCATACATAACATTGTAACAGCAAGGGCTGCCTGCTTCTTTCTAGTGGCAAGCATGGCTGATTGCACAGCGCAGCAATGGTTTGGTAGTCCAGGCATTGCTATAGTTGAGGAGGGAATATCCCTTTCCTAGCATTCTTACTCTCGCCATATCCCTCTTTTGTGCATTTATATGTTCCTGCTGCATAAGACTGAAGCCGTGCAGGAAGGGGAATGGGGCAGATGTTTCGCTATGCTCGTGTGTGGGCTTATTGCTTCTATGTGGTGTGTGCATTTCCCTATCTGATGAGTGCTTCTGTTTTGGCCTTTTAACAGGACAGTGTCCCAATGGGCTCTCCTGCCTTCCTTCTCTCTCTCTTTGTAAGTATTGAAAGGCGCTAGCAAGTACTGCTGGCAGCGTGCTCTGCTCCTTGTCTGGGTGATCACTGCACTGTCACAGCATCCTTAGCGTCGCAGCAGTGTGTGTTTAACATAGGGGCTGTACAACCATGATCACTAGAGAAGAAACATCTTAGTCCCTTCCTCTCAGCGTGGGTGAGTGGGTGGGGCTTCAGTCTTTCTTCTGGTTCCAAGCGTTCTTGTTTTGTCATCTGCCTGTGCTTTTTTCCACAACTGCTCTCCTGCTTTCTTTCCATGTAAGTGGGAAGACACGCCAAGTGGTGCAGTGCTGTAGTTCTGACATCTCTCATGCTTACACAGCTGCCCCTTCTTCACATTCAAGACAGTGCAAAGGGTCTGGGGAAAGTGAGGAATCAGCTGTGTACTCCTTTATCATTCATGGTCCAGAAAGCAAATAAGATACTCCGCAGAAATACCTTGCTCTGTGCCTCTGGTGATCTGGAAGTGTTTGGAAAGTATTCCCTCTGGGAAACCCCAAGTCTTTGAGTTGCGGGGAGGAGAGAGGGGAGGAAGATGGAGAGTTTTTTTTTTTCTCTCGCATATATCTAAAGACAGAGGAGTACTCCGGGAGAGTCAGCATGTCAGCCAGAGGGAGAGGGCAGCGGATCAAAGGAAGCTCTCAGCTCGCCTTCTACTCATGGAAAGGAGCTGTGCGGAGAAGCTAGGGAGCTAGTGCCAGGGTCACTCAACTGGAGGAGCACTTCCCGTAGGGATCAGCAGCTAATAAGGTAGGTTAGTCAGCAGTTTCCTCTTTCCATCTTAAGAGCCAAGCTAGAAATTGTCACTTAGGAGAAAGCCTGCAGTGTGCAGGCTCCAAAAGCACCTGTCTGGGTGAGAGCCTTGTTGCCTGTCTCTCCTGACTGCCAGCAATGCACAGAGATGCTGCAAATCCCAGCACCTGTGCTGTGTCCAGAGTGAACTTTAGGTAGGTCTGCAGACAGGCCTCCCCAGGCCTTCCTGTCAGAGCTTCCCTTTCTCCTGTTCAGAAGGCATGAAAAGTATTATTATTAGATGCACATTTCCTTACCACTGTGTGCTGGAGGAAGTGTTTTGTGTTTAGGGTTGCATAACTCATTTCTGTTAATGCCAGTCCTTTTGTTTGCCTTGTGACTAGGATGGAGGCACCAGAGGGCGTCGCTGTGCCATCGAGGCAGACATGAAGATGAAGAAATGATGCTGCAGACAGATAAGAAAACCCAGCACCTGGCATCCGGAGCTGGAGTGCAAGCAAGATGCTGTTAAAGCTGTTGGAGGAGGAAGAAAAGCTGCAGGTCTATTTCTGGGACCTGTTCCACCTTCTTGGCTTGACACTCTGGGAAGCAATTTCTCATCAGAATGTGTAACCCAAAGAAACTTCCTCGGAGGGGAAGACTAGCCCCCCTGCCTGTTCTAGGGCAGTCGTCTTGGGCTTCATCAGTGTTCTGGTGTTAGCTAGCAACTGGTGGCTCGTATGTACTGTAATGTGAAGTGTACAGATTTTTACTAGTGATGTGTAAATGTGTATGTATATTAAAGTCTGGGGAAAAACGAACCTGGTGTACGGTGTGCAGTGTACTGAGCACCACAGCTCTCTGCAGGGAGGAACCCTGCTCGTGTACAAGTGTGCATACACGCCTTGAACACCCGCAAATGCAACTCGCTTCCAGTTTCCCGCTGGAGCACACAAGCACTGCAGGTCTTTGACATCAGAGACAGTGCATGAATCATTAGGGTGCTGCACAGTGCTTGGATGGAGGGGAAGGTTCCCCCTCTGAGTGTGTGTGTAAGGATACAGCAGTGTTGTTATGAAACAGGACATCCTAACCACGGAAAGTGAAGTCCTACAGTCTCACTGGAGCTTTCCTTAAGAGACCATTGTACTGAATGTACCACATTCCCAGAGATTTGAAAGAGGTAAGTGAGTTAGGGTGAAAATCTGATTCCAGCTCCTGTAGGAATGATCATATCTGGTTTCACAGCGGAAGTTTTGAACTGGCTCTCTTGGATGGATGTTAACAGTTTGTTTCCTCAGCAACCTGGATGACTGAGTTTTAAGCTTCCTCTGAAAACTTTCAAGTTACCTATTTTTTTTCTGCTAATGTGACCTGTGAACTTGTGCATTTTCTGCCTGTGTACCCTTCCATGAGAAAAGAACAAAAAAGCACAGTCTTTTATGATACCTGAAGCAGCTGGGAGTTGTCTACACCTTTTCTCATGCAGCATGCACAGGGCTCAGCGTTCTGTCACACCAGTTGCAAGAAACAGTCATTGCAATTACTACGGAGGGATTGTTACCTTATCTAGTAAGAGCTGTTGGTTTTCATAAGTTTAATGTTGAAGGTTGTGGTACCCACTGCATTGCATTCCATGTTTGGTAAAGGTAAGGTGTATTTCCACCAAGAATCGCTTTGTATTTGATGCTAGAAATGTGGAGTCCTTGGGTTTGCTCACTGCTCAAATGTCCTTCGCTGCTGAACTTGGAAACAAATTTCTGATTTGAATTTTTATGGGCCTTGGTCTACAGAAATTCCAGGTTGTTAAGCTCGTGGCACAAAAAGTTCCAGGGTTCTTTGCTTTCTGGTATTTTGTGGACTCGTTTAAGTTGGAAAGGATCTCTGAGAATCAGCTCGTCCAACCTGCTGCCCCACGCATGGCCAGCTTGGAAGGCAGATCAGCTTGCTTAGGGTCTTGTCTAGTCAAGTTTTGAAAATCTGCAGGGATGGAGATTTCATAACCTTTCTGGACAGCTTCTTTCAGAGCTTACCACCCTCACAGAGTAAACATTTACGTTACAGCCAGTCTGAATTTCCTTCGGTGCAACTTGTCACCACCACCTCCTTTCACTGCTGGCCACTAAGAGCCTTGGTGTAACACCTCTGCGTGTTTGTGTTGAACAATTGATGTTGCATCATGTGGGAGGACCTCTATCATGCCCCACTAGTAGATTGTTTTTTTATGGAAAGTATTGCTGTTTGTTCCTGCCCTTGGTTTCTTCTCTGAACAAGGTATTTTTTCTCTCAGAGCCTTTTCTCTTGCCCCATGACATGTCACTAGCCTGTAATAATGTTATTTAAGATCTTCAAAAATCTAAGGTACTGCTTTCCTCTTCAGAGCCCTGTTGCCTCTTTCCAAATTCCCCATCTCACTTCTCCAGCTCCTAATTCCATTCTTTGTGATATTTTGCACTAATCTGTCTAGTTCAGAGCTCGGACTGACTGTGCTGCATCTCCCACCGCACACCTTTTCACAGACAGAAATAACAATTGCCCCTCTGTGCTTCTTGTGCTGTGGCTGATGCAAATGACAGGTTACACAGCAGAGGTTTGGTCATGTTATGTTTAAGCCTCTTAGGGACTCATGAGTGAATGCCAAGTAGTTCCAAGGCTTACTGCCTCCCTTAAACTGCTCTAAAACCTCCCCTGTTGACACTTTAATTGCAGACAGTCCCTCGGACCCGTCCCAAGAGAAAGTCTCTCCGACTTTGCTGTCCTCCTCTGTGGCAGCTGCTGGTAATGATGATTAATTTGGTTTTTCCAACTGGCCCTGTTTTCCCCTGAGATGTTTGGCACTGGTGGTGCGTCATCCCCACTGATCAGCTGGCAGCTCGCTGCTTCTGATGTTTTTGACGAGGTTTGTTGTTGTTATTTGCTTTTATGTCTTTAGCAAATAGATCTTTTTTTTTTCTTTTTTCTTTTTTCTTTTTTTTGCCTACTTCATTGTGGATTCTACATTTCATTTGCCGAAGTTCAGGCTTTTATCATTTTCCTTGTTTTGACATGTAAATTCCTTTTAGAGGCTGTCACCTTTATTTCTAACAGCTTCTTCTTGTATCAGCAGGAGTTGCGCGGTATCTGATCTCTGCAAAGTGAACTAAAACTTTCCCATTTGATAATGATTCCCTGTTGGCAACTTACGTAAAGTCTGCAAGGAAGATCTTAATTAAAAGTTAAATTGAGTCCCTTCTCATCCCTTACTTTTCGCACAGAATCAATGTGGAATGAAGCAGGCTGTAATTACTTCCCCCAGCCCACTTGTCTTACAGTACTTCTGCTGCTCTGCTCTCTGACATCTCGAGCCTTCCAGGACTTAGTAAAACCGAACGTGAGGTCAAAGCCCCTTTTAATCGGTGCTTATGCCCGCGTTAGTAGGCCTCCTGACTTGAAAATGCTGATCCCTCTGCGCTGGAGTACAGAAAGATGATCACAGGCGATGGGATTACCCTAGCCTAAGGCTTTTGCTCCTCCGCTGAGCTGCGGTGACCGGTTGTGCGTGTGCAACCAGCTCTGCTGATTGTGCAGCGAGTGCTCTAGGCACGGTTACTCCTCCGATGGGATCAGTCTGCCCGACTCCTTTAGCTGGAAGCCCAGAGCAGGCAGCTTTATCTCCTGCCTCATCAAATTTCACTCGCTTCCGCTAAAGTTAACTTTGGAAGAGGCTGGAGAAGGGAGGCCTGCGAGGTCCCGGCTCTCCTTGGATGTTTATAAAAGAAGCAAACGAGTTTTCCCATCCCAACACCAGCAGATTTCTTATTACTCCCAGGTAGGCACCGCAGGCTGTGTTTGCTGCCGTGGTGGCAGTCCTGAGAAGGCAAAGGGAAGTCAGTGAGAAATGCGTTCGTTCAAAGCCCTGGAAAAATGAGGTTGTACATAATTAACTGAGAACTCGAAAGTCATTTTTAATGAATGCACAGAACTCTCTGTAGGTGCAGCAGGCAGCTCAGTAGCAAGATGCAGATTTTTCTAACAGCCTTTTGCTGTTGTTATGGTGATCCTGCAAGCAATTCCCCAGACTTTAGAGGAATTATAGGGGACTCGTGCAGCCGAAGAGACTTAGGCTGACAAGCAGAGGTGAAAGGAGTGGCTTCTTCCATCTTAAGAGAACGCCAACTCTTATTTTCTGAGGTGTGTGCAGAGCTGTCCCCTGTGAGCCTGTGTCTGTGCATCACTGCAGTGCTCCTGGCTCAGGCACACAAGGCACCACCACCCAACTAAATTACCTCTGTCACTTCCAAACCAGGTTTCTGCAGTGTCTGTAAGAAGTTGTTTCCAATGTACCAGCAATAGGGGCAGCAAAGGGAATCTCAGTGAGCTGCCCTTGGTGTCACAGGTTATCCACAGCTGTCAGCAGCTCCTGGCCCCAGCGTGATGTGGTTTCGAGCTTGCTGCTCGCTGCCTTCAGCACCTAACGGTGCCATCAGACACAGCCACAGGCTCCAAACCAGCACAGTATCCCCTGAGCAAGGAACCCACTGTGCTGCCAGGCAAGGGACGAGCACGGGGAAAGCACTGGAAAACGGAAATCTGGTTGCCCTGAAATGGGAGTTGGTGTGGCTGCACAGCTACAGCTCTGCCCTGTGCCGTGAATTTTGGGCTCAGGAGCAGGCTGCTCGCCTCGCAGAGCTCTTGCCGTGTTTTGGCTCTCTGAGCAGGTCAGGAGATGAACTGGGCTTTGCGGTGCTGGAGCAGGGTACAAAGAAATTGCTGTGTCTCTGTGTTTGTTTGCAGATGGGCCATTCCTGGCTGTGGTGCAGGTCTGAGACGGAGTCTCCCAGCGACTCAGAGAAGAACAGTGACTTCCAGTCAGTTCTCAGCTGGGATTCCAGCTTGGATCTGGAACTGGGGAGCTGGAGGAACACCGAAGAGGCCGTCTTGGGGAAGCTGGAGGAGAGCAGCCAAGAGGCAGACTACAGGCTGAAGTTCAGTGATCCTCTCTGGGAGGATGATAGTGAAGACTACCCAAAAGCAGAGAGGCAATGCGAAGATGAAAGTCTTCTCCAGTTCTTCTCAGAGGTAGGGCTGCGTGGATGACAGGAAAGTGGGCTGCATAGCTTAGGCCTTCCTGAAATACTAGTTTCAGTGCCTCCACCATCCTGACACACAGAAATATTCTGGGGGAGGTGTAGATGCCCTGAGTTAACTTGCTCTCTTGTTCCAAGCCTAGCCCTTGCTCCCATTTAAAGCTGGCACTGCAGCCAGGCAGCTGCTTTGCCAAAACACGGCTCACCCTAAAGCACAGAGATGTCAGCGAACTGACACTTGTAATAACAACACAGGGCTTCATCAGAAGATTTTGCAAGGATTCCTAAAAATGGAAAGGCGTTCGTGAGTGAAAGCAAAAATAGCACTTGTGCTGCTTATTTATTCTTCCTTTTGCCTTCACAATTTGAAGCAGTGTATCTCTGTGTCGCAGGTAACCCAGTTGATGGAACCTCTCCGCATTAGCTGCACAGATTCAGCTCAGACTCCATGGGATTATTCTGGCTCTGGAAAGCAGGGTGGTGGGGAAGATGTAAGATGCCAGGAAAAGCCCACAGGGGCAGTAGTCTCAAGAGCAGAGGAAAGTCATCTGCATGGCCTGGCAGAAGACGAGGAAGAACACCTCCTGGGAAGAGAGGTAGGGGAGAGGTGGTCCTAGGAGAGCCTCTGGTGAGAGATGAGAGGCAGTAAAGGAAATCAGCTCTAGACTGAGATGGGGAAGTCCCACGTTGCAGCTGGGGAGATGGGGACACAGGGGAGGAGACATCAGGGAGGGGAATGCAAAAGAAGTACATGAGGGGAAGGATGGATGTTTGTTATGTATGGATATGAATCTTTATGAACAGGAAGCTCGTTACAGATCAAACCCTCAGATGTGAGTTGGAGGCATTGCTCCTTGGCAGCACAAAGGTGACTCATGAGAGCTGGCAGCCTGCTCTCAGGTTTAAGGCAAGACTGGAATACTTGGTTTGTTCTAATTGCTGTGTTATGCAGCACGCAGCTTGCCTGGTTCAGGCCCACGTGGATGCAATAGCAGTAACCATCTGCCCCTGGAGACCATCATGTCTTGGAAGCAGGCGCTGTTTAGCCTGGGTTTGTGCTAGTCCTGTGTCTGGGGGGTGCTGGGCTCCCACCAGCCTGCGAGGTGGTGCTGGGACGGGCTGTAACACCACAGCAGTGGAAGGGCAGCACCCAGTTTTTCAGTCCTGCACTCACATTTGTTGCTTTGCAAACTTAGACGCTGGAGACAGAAATGACTTTCGGGGTTCTCGCAGCGGGGTTATTCCCAGCAGTTCCCTCGTGGTCTGCCAAGTGGTCAAAGCCATACCCAGCTCAGTGTCCGTGTTCCTGCTGGACGGTCTGCTCCGTGCTTCAGATCTGCTGAGGAATTCTCAGATGTCCCTGTACATAATCCCACTTCTGACCTCCAGAATGCCTCTCTCCCTGCACCTCCCCCTCCGTTTTGTTAGCAAATCACTGCACCAACAGCACCACTCTCCTTCCTGGTTGAGTCTATTCTCTGTCATATTCATGTGGGAGTTTTTGAGGAAACAGTCCTGTTGTACTCTTGGGGATCCTGTTTTCTGTGTCTTGAGGTTTAACAAGCCTGAGGCAGTCTTACCTCAGATCCTGATTGCCCTCTGTACATCCATGACTCTTCCCAGAAAAGAAACCAGACACACCTCTGGGCACCAGTCAGCTCCGCAATGTTTGTGTTTGCCAGAGGTGGTTGTGAGCCAGGAGATCAAACCCAGCTGGTACTGGAGCCCTGGCCAGCACAAGGAAGATCTGAATAAGGTCAAACATCATCCTCCAGAGTAATAGAGAGAACTAGCTCCCATTTGGGACTGGATGCAGTCAGGGGACGTGCAGCAGGCTGGTTTCTGTGTGTAGGACTGAGGTGACAGGCTGCCATTTTAGCCATATCTCCATTTTCCTCTCTGCTCTTCAGGCCAAGACTCAAGAGGCACCTGGAGATCAAGCTTTAGGTGAGCCATGTGCACAGGAGAGTCATCAGGCCCAGGACCCAGATGATAGTGATGGCACCTCTGCAGACCCTGTGCTGGTCACCACAAGTCCTGCCAACATGCAGCTGTAAGTGGTTCACTCTGCTCTCTGTCAAGCGCAGAACTGTTGTTTTCCTTGTCTCACAAGTTTATAGCACAGGTCAGCTCCAAGAAGGTGATATGTCCAAGGAGAACAGGAGAGGAAGGAGGTGACTTGTAGCTATCTCTGTGGGTCTGCCAGCATTCTGGGGCATTGATCCTGTACATAAGTAAGAAGAGTAGCGATTAATAAGAGGTAAAATAGAAAATTCATCTTTCTGCAAGGCAGCTAGGTCTGCTATGAGCTGGGCATCGCACTATCAGGCAGTGTCCAGTCCATCTCCTAAGAGAGGCAGGCATGTCAGTCACAGGTAGGCTCTGCCACATGTGCGACTACCTGGGCTGCCTTTCGAAGGGATACCGTAGTTTAATGGGATAGGAATCTAAATAAAAACCACCTTAGTAAAGTTGTAAATGTCAGAATAGCGTGAGCTTTTCTGTCCAACTTGATCATGCTGGTCAGCTCAGCTCGGCCCTTGTCAGCTGCCTGTCACGCTGCATCTTCCTGCATGGTTGATGGTTGGCTGTGCGTTCAGATGCAGAACACCTCTGCCATGTCCCCCTGAGAGGCTTTGTGCAGCTACAGAAAAGGATCTCAGGGCTGTACCCACCTGGATGCGGTAGGTGCCTACAGAAGTGCTCCCTTCTCCTTTGGCTTGAGCGTGAGCCTCTGGCACTACGTTCCTTCTGCAGGATGCAGCTGAGCTGGGATAACCCCGTGCAGCATTCACACTTCAAAAGGACCGTCCTGTCCATCTGGAAGATGATAGCCAGTCACAGGTACGTGGGGCACAGGGATGGATTAGCATTGTCCTGAGTGCCACGTCCCGTGTCACCAGGCCTTGTGCTCCCCTCCACGATGCCCACCCCAGGCAGGCATGGCTCTCCGTGGCTTTGCTTCTGGCTGTCCTCGCAGGAGGAACAGCTGGGTGCTGTAAAATCAGAGAGAACACTGCATATTTATTTCCTCTGCAGAACGTGCCAAAGCCCAAATGGTGCTTCCTACACAGCTGGCAGGGCCAGCTTCAGCAAGGGCTCAGCCTCCTCCCCTGCCTGGCTGTGCCAGCCGCCCGGCACGGGGAGTTGCCAACAGGCTGTGCCCCTTGTGGCAAGCAGGGAGAGGCCAGCACTAGCCCGTGCTGCGGTGTTGTCTTTGGCCCTCTGTTCAGAAGCAGACAGAGATCTTTCTTTGTGCTTGTCCTTGTAGGTACAGCGGCCCATTCCTGAAGGCAGTGTCAGAGAAACAAGCCCCGGGATACAGGGATGTGGTGAAGAGGTGAGTTTGCGGAAGGGCCGTTCACTGCTTCATTTCTCTCTGTTTCTGTCTTCTCTGGCACCCAGCACTCGGAACAGGAAAGACAGGTTAAGGTCAGCCTCTGGTTTCCAAAGCACCACTGGGACCGTCTCCTTCCTCCTGTTCCGCAGAGTTTGGCTGTCATCGCCTTCTCCCACTGACTTATTTTATTAAAACTCCCTCCGGGTGATCAGGACCTGGAGGTGGCAGCACCCATGGGGCTGACACACATTGTGCCTGCCCTTTGCTGGCCTTGCACAGACAGTCTGCAGCTGTAACCCCTGCCTGAGCTTGGGGGATTCAGCCTCTGCAGCCCAGCAGTCTGTTATCCCCACGCTGGAGACGTGTGCCTCTGTCAATGTCCTCCCTTCTTCCAGTGCTCATTCCCCAGATGTTTTACTCTCAGTGGAGAAGTGGGTCATAAGAATATTTCCCAGATAGATTAAGGGCATTTTTCAGAGCTGAATCATATTCTATTCTGGTCACAGTTGTCCTCTCTGCAGCCATTCATTTTCTCATTCTGTCAAAATAAGGGAAGTAATATTTATTCTCCTTCATGTTCCCCGTATCAGCACTGCTATTTTTGCTAGTGGCACCATTTGATTTTAAGGGGCTTTAATAGATACCTATTTTAGTAACTTTTCTTTCTCCACTCAGACCTGGGCTGACTCCACCAAGACTAATTACTAGAACCGCTCTGCTTGCCTTCTCTGGAACTCAACTTCATATTTTTTTAGAAGCGACTGCTAATGGCCTGCCAAGTTGGTTGGGTGGCAAGTGTCAGATTGGCTGAACTTACTTTTGTCTGCCTTAGAAGAACATTTCTCGCTCCCCCTCTTTGTCCCAAGCAATAATATTGATTGAAAATAGCCGTGCTTTCAGGGCCATGCCGAAATGAGGACAGGCACGTTCGTGCAGAGCCTGGCTCTGGCTTCCGTTTAATTTCCCTGCTGTGTGTCGTTTACAGGCCCATGGATTTAACCAGCATAAAGCGAAACCTGTCCAAGGGGCACATCCAGTCCATGGCCCAGTTCCAGTGCAGCCTGATGCTCATGTTCCAGAACGCGGTGATGTACAACAGCTGCAACCACCACGTGCACCGCATGGCCCTGGAGATGCAGCGGGAGGTGCTGGAGCAGATGCAGATGCTGGGTGAAGCCCTCCTGTGCTCAGAGGACAGGCTGCGGCTGGGCCGGAGGTGATGGGGCACTGAGGGCACTGGGAGCACTGGGGTTGCTGGGAGCGCTGGGGACACTGGGAGTACTGGAGGCACTGGGGGCCATTCCCTGAGGAGCACTGGGAGTTCTGGGGGGCGGTATTGGGAGCACTGGGGGGCACTGGGAACACTGGGGGCCCTGCCCCAAAGAGTACTGGAGGCACTGGGAGCACTGGGAGCTCTAGTAGTAGTGGGAACACTGGGCACACTGGGAGCACTGAGGGAACTTGGGTAGTAGGAGCACTGGGGCTGGACTGGGAGAACTTGGGGGGTACTGGGAGCACTGGGGGAGCACTGTGGGGACTGGGGGGCATTAGGAGCACTGGGGGCCCTGCCCCAAAGAGTACTGGGAGCACTGGGAGTTCTTTCTAGGAGTACTGGGGGCACTGGGGCAGCACTGGGAGCACTGGGGGAACTTGGTGGGTACTGTGAGCACTGGGGGAGCACTGGGACTCCTTGGGGGCCCTGCCCCGAGGTGCACTGGGCGCACTGAAGGCACTGGGAGCTGCAGCAGTACTGGGGGCACTGGGAGCACTGGTCTGAGGGGGGTCCGAGCGCGGCCCGCCATTGGCTGGGGCGGTGGGCGGGCTGAGGCAGGGCGGGCTCCCATTGGCTGGGGCGGTGGGCGGGCTGAGGCAGGGCGGGCTCCCATTGGCTGCCACTCAGCACGCGGCGGCCGGAAGCGGAAGCGGCCGGCGGCAGCGCGCGCGCGACCATGGCGAGGGAGAAGGAGGCGGAGGCGGCGGAGGCGGCCCCGGAGCTGTCGTACCGGGAGCAGCTCGGGCACCTCAACCCCATCGCGCAGCCGCTCGCCTCCCGCAAGCTGACGCGGAAGCTCTACAAGTGCATTAGGAAAGGTCCGGCTGGGGCTGGGGGGACAGGGACCGGGGGAACCGGGGGGGGGGGCCTCGGGCTGGGGCCTAGGGCCTGGTACCGGGCCTGGTACCGGGCCGTGCCGGTTGGCGCAGCGCCCTGACGCGTTGCCTCTCTTGCAGCGGCCAAGCAGAAGCAGATCCGCCGCGGCGTGAAGGAGGTGCAGAAATTCATCAACAAGGGAGAGAAGGGGTGAGTGGAGGAGCCCCGGCCCCGCTGCCCAGGCGCGGCCCCGGCCCCTGACGCGTGTTTTCCCCTTCAGGATCGCGGTGCTGGCCGGCGACACGCTGCCCATCGATGTGTACTGCCACATCCCCATCATGTGTGAGGACAGGAACCTCCCGTACGCATACGTCCCCTCCAAATCGGTAAGGGCAGGTGGCTGCGCAGCCTGGAGGACACCAACTGCTGTGACACCAAGCCTGGTGGGCTGCAGCCGGCCGGAGCCATCCTGGGGAGGCTCCACGGTGGTGCCTGTGTGAAGCACCCAGGGCTTGTGCCGTGCTGGGACACGAGAGGAACAGGCGGTGACAGCTCAGGTGTGGGAGGGGCTCGCTGCAGGAGCGTTTGTCCTGGTAGAGCTCCTGCAGCAGCACCAGAGCTCTCTGGAACAGGGCTGGGACAGATTTCTTCCTTTTAGTTCTGAGCTGGGACCTGGATGCTCCTGGAAATGAGTTGGTGGCCAAGATGTGGCAGCGGAGAGATGTCCGTCCCTGCTCAGACTAGAACTTAGGGGTGGGCAGGGGCTTTGGGGTTTCCCTGCTGTGGGTGAGGAGCAGCGTATGTGAGAGCTGCCAGGCATTCACAGCACGCATCCCTGCAGCATTTGGGCTAGAAGAGCTGTGAGAAGGGTTCCCCAGCCCACACAAAGAGTGCTTGGATGGTTGGGGGGTGGCAGGGACACCTTCCCTGTGTCCTACTGGGGGGGTGTTGGGGCTCCCCCCAGCAGGCTGCCCACCTCCCCACTGCCCTGCTCTGCCCCTACAGGACCTGGGAGCTGCGGCCGGCTCGAAGCGCCCCACCTGTGTCATCCTGATCAAGCCCCACGAGGAGTACCAGGAGGCCTACGATGAGTGCCTGGAGGAGGTGGAGGCGCTGCCCCTGCCGCTCTGACCCACAGTGGGGTGTGGGGGGGAACGGGATGGGACACAGGGTGAATAAAGGTGTGGGGGGTTTGTACCAGCTGTCTGACTGCTTTTTTTGTGGGGCAGAGTCACGCTGCTTGAGGGGAGGTGTCAGACCATTCTATTTGGGGTGCTGAGGGAGGCCCCATCCCCGTGGCAGCGCCCCGGGGCTGCCCCAACCCGCCCGGCCCTGCCCTGCCGTGACTCAGCCCCAGCCGGTTGTGCCGCCAGCCCCGCGCCGCCTCCTTCCCCTCCCCGACGCGGCGGCTCGCCCGGCTGGCAGCTCATCCCCCCCTGCCAGGCAACCCCCAGGAGAGAGAAAGCAGAGGCCAAGGGCAGAAGAACGAAATCCGGGTTTATTGCAGGAAAGGCCAAGGAGAGGGGGCCCCGCCTGGCCTTCCGGAGGCTCCACGTTACAAGCACAGCGCCAGCTCCTTCCAGCACCTCTCCCCCTGCAGGGTGGAGGTGTGGGGATGCTTCAGCTTCTCAGGGCATGGCCCAGGGGGCTCCCACCCGTCGTCGTTGCACGAGGTCCTCCCCTCCTCTCTCCTTGCCCAGCCTCAGTGCGGGGAAGCTGCGATAACTCCCCCCCTGCTGCAGAACAGCCACAGCACTGGGGAGGCAAAGGGGGCAGCTCCCTCTCGCCCAGATTTTCCTCCTTCACCTTCCCAGCTGCAGCAGCACCAGCTGGGCCACAGGAGCTGGAGCAGGAGGACAGGGCTTGAGCCTCTCCTTAGCAAGATATTAAGTTACTGGGGTGAAGGGAAAAGGGGAGGCAGAGCAGGAGGGACGGGGAATGTCTCACAGGGCTTCTGGTCTCTGCCCCCACGACTGAGGGGATCGCAGGGCAAGCGCTCCTGGCGGCAGAGCACGGGGCACATGCAAGACCCCTGCCCTGGCACGGGCGATCCCCTCTCCGGAGACCACCCCCCACGGGCCTGAAGCGCTGCAAGAAGGAAAAGTTCCCTCGTGGCCATGGGTCCTTCTCCCTAGGGCAGGGCCGAGCGGCTGAGCCTCGTGGCCCCGCGCTCATCCCACTGCAGCAGCGAGAGCCCTTCCCCCTCGGCGGTCCCACAGGCGCCCTGCCCCTCAGATCTTGGAGGACTCCACTCGCTCAATCCAGGGCGAGTCGGCCCCGACGTCCCTGGGCTCCGAGCGCAGCTGGCGCAGCTCACGCTCCAGCGCCTGGCTGCGGTGATACATCTCCATGTAGCTGGCCTGGAGCTCCCGCTGGTACCGCAGCACCTTCTCCTTCTCCTCCTGCCAGGTTTTCCTCTCCAACTCAAAGTTCACGGCCTGCAGCTGGCCCTGGCGCCGCTCCCGCAGCAGCTCGGCCCACAGCCACTCCACCTGGCGCTCCAGGGGCTCCGCGGAGTCGCTGTGGAGGCCCCGGCACTTGGAGTCATCCGTCTCACAGCCAGGGAAGTCCTGGCACGCTGGCATGGGGTCGTCGCCCAGCGGCAGCGAGGCGCCAGGCTCCGGGGGGCTCTGGAAGGAGTCCGCCAGCTGCGCCAGCTGCGAGTCCCGGGCTTGGACCTCAGCCTTGGCCTCTCGCAGCTGCGTCTTCAGGCTGAAGATCTCGCCCAGCTTCTGAGCCATCTCCTCCTGGGTGTCCCGGAGCTGCTGCTTCAGCAGGGAGATTTCGGCTGCCTTCTGACACACCTGCAGGGCACAGGCAAGCAGTGAGCAAGGAGCCAGCACCCGGTTTTAATCGCCACGGCATCCCTGGGAGAGCACAAGCACCGTGCCTGGCTTTTTCTCCCATCCTGTGACCACGGGTGACACCAGAGCAGAGAACCACGGCCCCCATCGTGGCCGCATAGCCAGGAGGGAGGGAAGGAAGGGGACTCACCTCCCACTTGGTCTCCTCCAGCTTGGGGCTGACACGCTCGCCCTGGGACTGCCGCAGCTTGGCCTCCTCGCACTGGCACTGCTGCATGTTCAGCTCCTCCTGCAGCCGCTTCTTCTCCTGCTGCGCCTTGTAGAGCTGCAGCTGCAGCGCCCGCTGCCCACGCTGCGCCTGCTGCGTCACCTGCTGCAGCCTGGCCATGTACATCTGCTTCAGGTCCTCCAGCTCGTCCAGCCACAGCCGCTGCTTGTCCTCAAACACCTGCCAGCACAGAGAGGCATTGGGGACACTGCGTCCTGTCCAGGATCAGCACCCAGGAAGGCTCCCCAGAGGTCCCAGAGACCTCTCAAAAACCCAGCAGCTCAGCCAGGCTATGCCCTCCCAGCTCCAGCTGAGGAGCAGAGGTTTAACAGCAGCTCCCCAGCTGCTCCTGCCCCACAACATGACATGGATCCCCCCATGTTTGGGCACTCCCAGCCACCGTGGCAGGACACCAGCACCTTCACAGCTCCTGCCACCCCATCACCACTGCCCAGGGACACCCAGCGCAGCCCCAGCCCCACGTCTCACCTGCGTGAAGGGGTCCTCGGTCTCGCTGAGGCTCCTCTTGAGCTGCCGCAGCTCTCCCCCGCTCTCCTGCAGCCGATCCTCCAGCTGCTTCACCGCGTCTTCCAGGGAGTAGGTGAACTCGTAGGGCGGCGGGGGCTCCCCGGGGCTCTGCAGGCGGCTCAGCGTGGCCATGCTTTTGCAGGACAGGGGGGCCTTTTCGGGAGCCAGGGGGTCCCTGGGGTTCCGGGACACCCTGTCCAGGGACCCCCCGATGTGGTTGATGTGGCCCATGGAGGCGCTGAACTGGCTCTGGGCGGGCTTGAGGCGGGAGCCGTAGGAGGGGAAGCTCTGGATGGAGTTGTGGCTGGAGTCGGAGGCCTCATCCAGGCTGATGGCGTGGAGCAGGTGGGTGCGGAGCGGGCCGTGCTGCGAGGGCGCCGTGCTGCTCTGCGACAGCAGCGTGTGCAGGCTGCCGTTGCTCTTGGACAGCTTCTGCCCCTTGGACGAGGAGAGGCCCTGCATGGAGACCAGCCCCTTCCCGGCCACCGCCTTGAAGGCCGAGGGCCTGATGCGGCACTGCAAAAACACGAGTGGGGTCAGGCTGAGCCCCCCCGGAGCTCCAGACAGAGAAAACCCATTCGCCCCCAGCCCCACCACCACCCCTGGACATCCCCAAACCCCCTCCACCTCACCTCCCACTCCCAGCACATTCTGCTCCAGCCCCAGCCACCCCAGAGCAGGGCACATTTTTGGGGTGGGGCACAAATGTCCTATTTCACCTTGTCGAAGCGGCCCCGCTCAGGCAGCGAGCTCTTGGAGAAGTCGGACCCGCGGTGATGCTCCCGGGAGCAGCGCTCGGGGGACCGGTTCTCGCGGTCGCTCTCGTAGTCCCGCTTGTAGCAGGCACCCGAAGTTTGGTGCTTCCGCTCGGACCGCGTCTCCTTTTTGGCCCCGTGCAGGTAGCCGAAGAGCTCCCGCTGGCTCGGCCCCTTGCGGAGCAAGCCGTCGGGCTGCCGGAGCCCCCGCGAGCCCCCCAGCGGGGCCCGCAGCTCCAGGGGGGACAGGTCCTGCTTCTCCACCAGGCTGCCCACGCTGCCCATGCTGCCGACGGGCACAGAGGAGAGGTAGGTGCCGAGGACGCGGGTGTCAGGCTCACAGGTCACAGGGCCCTGTGCTGCTGCCATGGAGAATTAGAGAAAAACCCGGGACCAGCACTGCCAAAGGAGAGACAGAGTCAGCAAGGCCGGGACTGCCCCGCTCCCAAAACCCATCCCACCCTCGGGGACCCCCTGCTTGCACGAGGGGTGCGGCGATGCCCACTGCTGTCCCTTCATTCATTCCCCCCACCTCCTGCATCCCCTGTCCCAGTGACCCTAAAGGCTTCCAGCACCGGGTTTGGGGGGACCCCCAGCAGTTCCCCCGGGATCCTTGAGCACGGCGGTGGGGGCTCCCCCTTCACCACCACCCCCCCCCCCGGTGGCGCAGCGCCTCCCTCCCACACCCAGCCCCACCTCCCGCCCGCGGCCGGGGCCGCCACCAGAACAGGCACCTGCCGCCCAGCCAGGCGGGCGAGTTCGGGAGCCGGCAGCACCTGCCTGGGCCTGGCGCCAGCCCCGGCCCGGCGGCACCCAGCCGCCCCCTCCCCAGGAACCTCCACGCGGCCTCCCCATGCCGGCCTCCCCCTTTTCCCTGCCCCCTCTGCAGGGCCACGGTTATTACCGGCGGCTGGCACCGAGCTCGGAGCTGCACGACCCCATGAGCCCGTCCCATCCCGCCAGGGCTACGGCGACGTGGCTGGGGACAGCCCCCAGACACCCCCCAAAATGCCGCAGCCCCGTTTGGCCTCTCGGCTCAGCCTCCTCGCGGAGCAAACGCGTCTCCTGCTCCACGGCAAGGCTCCTGCTCGGCCTCGGCTCCTCCGCCCTTGGGTCTGGGGCTCCCACCCTGCGGCCCCGAGCCCAGCGGAGGCCGGACACGGCCGTGGGACGGAGGCGGGAGGAAGGGGAAGGAGGCCGCCAGGACAATGCAGCTTCCTGCGCAGGTGGCCGGGCCTCCCTGCGCCCCGCGGGGCCGGAAGGCCGCCGGCACGTCTTCGGCCTCGCCGCCCGCTCCCCACGGACCGGGAGAGGCCAACGCGGCCCCCGGCCAAGCCAGGCACACGCAGCCACAATATTGGGGACCCTCGGGGACCCGCAGCCTCCCGTAGAGGCTCACGGTGACGCCGGGGCTTGGCGTGAGGCCGCGGAGCCCCCCCATTGAGGCCGGGGGAGGGCTACACCCAGGAAGCTGCCCTGGTTCTGGGCTCCCCACGGCGGGTAAACAAACAGCCGGGATAATTGGTGCCACGCACAAACCTGTCTGACAGCTCCCGGCCTGCGCTGTCACCTCCCTCCGGGAGCACGGCACCTGCTCCGGGCACCGGCACCCCCGCGGCGAGGACCTGGGGCTGGGGGAGAGACCCTCGAGGGGTGCCCTGGGGGGGGCTCGGGGGTCGGTAGCCCCGGTGGGGCACGGGGCAGCTCCCCACCGGGCGAAGCCGCTGCTGCTCCCCGGGGAGAGCTCGGGGAAGTAGGTCAGGCCCCGGGAGAGCTCCGGTGGGACGGGAGGCACCGGGAGGGGGGGGCTGGCTCCGCAGCACCGGCCCCGTGCCCGGCTCGGGGGCTGCTCCCCGGTGGGGCCCTGCTCGGTGCGGCCTCTCCCCGTCCCCCGTGGGCACGGCGGGGGCTGCTCCCCGGTTATGGGGGGGGGGGAGAGGCACAACCGGGGGGATGCTCGCGGCGAACCGGGGTGGGGGGGGCACGAAGCGAGGCCCCGGAGGGCGGAGGACAAAGCACCGAGGCTGGAGGGCGAGGAGGGAAATTGGGCAGGAGGGAAATTGGGGAGGGGAGGGGGGGGGGGGGGGGCGAACCGGCGGCGTTCCCGGAGCCCGGTGTTCCCGGGGCTGCACTCACCATGCCGGCGGCGCTGCGGGTCCCGGCGCTGCCCAGCCCGGCTCCGCTCCGCTCCGGCTCCTTCCCTCGCCGCGTTTGAACGCGCCCCTCGGCCGCGGCCGCGCGGGGAGCGGGCGGAGCCGGCAGCGGCAAATCGCGGAGCGGAGGCGGGCGGCGCCCGGGCGGGGCGGCCCCGGGGAGGGGCGGGGGCACCGGGATCCCGGGCCCTGTCCCCCCCCCCACTCCCTTCCCGGAGCACCGGGGGAGGCCGCACGGCTCGGGCCTTGCAGTGGAGGGTGGTGGAGCAGCGGGGGAGAGGCTCCGAGTGCCCTCTAGAAGCCCCCCGGTGGGCTCCGGGGGGGGGGCAGCACCGGGTGTCCTTCGGTGGCGGGCGGTGGGCTTCGTCCATCCATCCGCATGGGCACCCGCTGCTTGAGGTCACCCCGGGGAGCGGGACAGCGGTGGCAGCTCTCCCACCCGTCCTCCTCCGGCCTGGGTCCCGGCGGCTGCCAGCCCCCCCCCCCCGCCGCAGCCCTCAAGCTGTGCTGCCAGTGCTCACCCACACGCACACGCTGTCCCCGTCCCCGTCCCCGGGCTCGCACGCTCGCCTTATCCTCGGCCTGCTGCCAAGGCACGCCGCCACCGCGCCCGCCAGCCCCGTGTTCCCCAGCACTACACAGGCGGCCTCGGAGCACCGCGTGGCTGTGGTGGTGCCCCCCGAGCTTGGGTTTGGGGCAAGGAGGCAACGAGAGGAGGATTTGAAAGGTGTTGGCCCTAAGGGGCAGCAGTGCCATGCCCTGCCCTCCCTCGCAGCCCCTTCATCCATCACCTCCCACACAAACCCCGGCTTCCTACCCCATCCCCAGCAGCCTGTGGCCACGCACACATTTGTCCCCATTTCCCTGCTGCAGGGGCAGGCGGTGACAGATGACTGGAGCGAGGCCCAGGCAGGTTGTGGAGATGCTGGGCTGACTCGTGACGGGCACTCATCGCATCCCTTCCCGTCTGCCCCGCTTCCTGCCGCCACATCCCGGCCCCATCACGGGCTGTGCTCCCTCCAGCACGTCCCCACGGGATGATGGCAGCTCCCCGCCTGTCCCTGCACCGTCACGATGCTACCACAGCTCTGTCGGCCACCAGCACTTTGGGAACTGCCTGGTCTGAACCAGCCTGGCAATAGAAGGCACCCGTGTGCCTGCAGCAGCCCCCGCACAGCTCGCTGCGGCAATTCGGGCCCCAGAAGGGGGGGAGAGGCAGAGGGGCAGGGCTGGGCCTGCAGGAGCCCTCGCTGCCTCCGAGTGTCCTGGGGTGAGATGGAGCTGTGACCCCTCCTAAGGGCTGCTGAGAACCCAGCCAAGCATAGAAATGGCAGGAGGCCTCCGGCTGGGCCCCGCGGGGCTCCCGGGACATGGGCGGCTGGGAGGCAGGGTGTTACCATCTGCAAAAACGCGGTGGGGAAAAGCCTCAGCCCCTCCCGCTGGGCCATTGCTAATAACAAAGTGCGTGGGGGGGGGGGAGCGGAGCTGAGCGACCTCCGAGGCACATTGAGGGCTATAAAAGGAAGCCGGGTCTCCAGCACGGCGCCTCTTCCACAAAAGCACCCGGAGGATGAGGGGGCTGCGAGCGGAGCTGAGAAATAGCTGCCAGGCAGCGGGAGAGGAGCCTTTAGCGCTGAGCGAAGTGCGAGGTGCACATATGCTCTCTGCTTCTGCACAGCTCCGGCTTCGTGAAACCTGACGAAACTGTGTCATCTATTTTGGATCCTTTGATCTGCCTCCACCAGCCCAGGCTGCGGCTCGGGCACAGATAGGTGGCTGACGTACGGATGGCCAATCCCAAAACCCAAGGGATGGAAAAGGGACTGGGCCCTGTGACACACCGTGGGCCTTTGCAGTGGTGCTGCTGGGCCGACATCGCCCCACAGCCAAGGACAAAATGGGTCTAGGAGATGCCTCCATGCACGGGACCAAAGCAGCCTGCAATCTCCATGCAGGATATCAGCGCCGGGCTGGGGACAAGGACATGAAGAGCCAAGGTGGCGCTGGCTGGGTGAGCCCACACCCTGCGGTAGGGCCGGCAGGGGCGGAGAGGCCCTGGGGAGCTCCTGGGCAGCGCGTTCCCCCCTGCCCCGGGGCAAGGACAGGCCCCGAGCTGGGGAGGAGCACAGGCTGCGCGTTGGATGATGCAAGGAGCTCGGGCTGAGCCTCGCCGACACCTTGACCCCTCCTTGAAGGCAGCACCCCGGTACTCAGGGCCCTGCACTCCTCACCCAGCTCCTGGAGCAGCACGGAGGGCAGGTGGCAGCAGATCCAGCAGGACCCACTCCCCCCATGTGGTTTGAGACCCTCACACAGCTCTGACGCTTTCGGCTCCCTCATCTCAGGGCTCCTCCCCGGAGGGCCATGTCCCCATGGGACAAGAAGCTCCTTGGCTTCTCGGGATGGTGACAGCTTCTGTCGGGAGGCAAGGCAACTGCTTCAGGAAGCGCCAGGCAGAAGGGACAGGGACAGAAGGGGACCAGGCAAGGCGGCAGGCCGGGTGCCAGCCCGGCGCAGCGCTGGTGACGGGGCCGAACGCTTGGCTGGGATGCGCTGCCCAGCTTGAGGAGGCAGCAGCACCAGGAACCGGTGCCAGGGCCCCGGAGGCAGCATCGTGCACCCCACACATGGCAGTGTCTGCGAGCCAGCCCGAGCCCCCTGTGCTTTGGAGCAGCCTGGCACGGATTCACCCAGCAGCTCCAGCAAGTGGCCAGGCCAGGCTGCAGGAGGAAAGGAGCCCGGAGCTGGAGGGTCAGGGTGAGCAGAAGCATCCTAGAGGTCACAGAGCCTGCTCACTCCTGGCACGAGCATTGGCAGCACAGCCATCAGCTCTGGGGACAGTGACCAGGACCATCGTGGGGCTCAGGCCCTTGCCCTGCCCCTCCTGTGCTGCTCTGCAGGATCACACTTCCCAGCAAATGGTGCAGTGGGGCTGATTTCCACCAAACCCAAAGCACTGGCAGCTCCCAGGGCCCCAGCCAGGATCACCAGGATCAAGTGAGGATCACCAGCCAGGCCAGATGGACCTTCCCTGCTTCCCCAGCCCTGGATCCCTGCTGCAGTGCCCCCAGGCACCTTCCCGGCAGCCAGACAGGGATGTTTCCCTCCTCCCTATCTTGTGTCCAGCACCCTGGGGCTGGTGTGGCTACCTGGCCCAGGCACCTTCCCTGAGTCTCCCACTGACCCAGACAAGTCCTGAGCCCACACCACGGCCCTCACACCCCTCTGAAGCAGAGCGGTGTCCCTGTCCAGAGGCTGAGCTAGAAACGGGTGCACTGAAACCACTCAGGGGAAGGCAACAAGAAAAAAAGTAGCAGTGCTGCGTGTTGCAGGGCATTCCCTGACAGATGCCCTGACAGTTCTTTATTGTCCTCTGAACCGGGTGGCAGCTCCGCCACGTCCAGCACAGAATAAAACGCCTCCTGCACCTGCCCTGGGAGGCAGCACCGGCGTTTGCAGCAGTGCCACGGAGTCCTGCTCTTGGCCTCTTCTGCTGGTCCCAGCAAAGACAAGTCCTCAGCCCTTCCTGTTCCTCTGCGTCTTGCCAGCACCGCCACGCTCGCCTGCTGCGCAAATCCTGCCTGCTCCAAGCAGCTCGGCGGCAGCCCCGGCACCTCGGCGCGAGCACAGCGCACGGGGACGGGCTCAGCCAAACGTGCACCAGGGGGTCTCGTTTGTGTCACAGTCCAGCAAGATATTCAGGACGGTGCAGGGGGCTCCTGCCACGCTCAGAGCCGTCCGTGACTCGATTCGGTACCGCACGTTGTTCAGGCCTCCCTCCCGGTCCACTTTAAACTGTTCCTGAGGGAGAGAAAAACATGAAAATGCTCAGGAGAAAGCAGCCGGTGCCTGGGCGAGGAGCAGGGAGCTGGCGGGGAGGGCTCCGGGCACGTGGTGGTAACAACCCGCGTCTCCCGTGGTGCCCCTCCATCAGGCCTCACCTGCTTCTGCGCAGCGATGCGCTTCTGGTCTCTCTTTCTCCAGGCTGGGTCGTGGAGGTGCTGGAAGGTCTCGTACCCAGTCGTGATTCCAGTGGGGCGGCGAACCTGGGAGCAGAGCAAAGCTTCTGTAAAGCCACTGCAAGAATTCCAACTGAAGAGGCCATGGAGCACAGCTTACCTGGAGACCAGCTCCTTTAATACGTCGGTAAAACTCATCGTCCTCCCGGCCCCAGCCCCAGAAGCGGTTGGACATGCCGTTGCACTGAAACGAGACGGGGCACGGTACCAGCCAGGGTCCTGCTCTCCTCCTGCAGCCACAGCACAACTCCTCGTGGCGCAGGGAGCAGACACCAGCACCAGGGACACCTTCAGCTTTCCCCCTCCTGTCCCCGTAGCATTTTGACTCCTTTTCCCCATTCCCAAGCACGGACTACGTGCCAAGACCACACCGTACCCCAAACCGGCCGCGGCGTCCCACCCACGGGCTCACCATCTCGTAGTGCTGCTTGGTGAGCAGCAGGATGCCACCCACGTAGGTTTTATAGTGGTACAGCGGGTGCAGCTCCGGGGACGCCACGTGGAAGGGCCCTGCCTCGGGGTAGCCGTAATCCAGCTGCTCGTTGAGGGGCAGGAGGTCGACGTCGTGCATCGCGATGTAGTCGGTGTCGTTGCCACTCTCCAGGAAGCCCACGTTGATCAGGGAGGCTCTGTTAAACCTGCCGAGGGACCAGGGGCTCTCAGCACCACGCACAGCAGCTGTCATCCCTTCACATCCACCTCCCGTGCCCCACAGCCCCAACCTGGTCCCCAAAAACAGGGGCTGTCACCACGAAGCCCCTCTGTGCGCACACAAACACGGTGTCCCCTGGCTGCACAGCTCCAGGTGCTCCAGCTGCACGTCCTGAGGCTGTGCCCCTTGTGCAGGGCTGTGCACGCTCAGCCTAAGAGCAACGTACAGAGAGAGGTTCAGCCCCTTCCAGCACGGAGGGGTCAAAGGCTGGGAGCAGCACGGGGCAAGCTACGGCACTTCCAAACACCTCAAGGAACTCCGCGTCCCCAGAGGTTGGGGGCTGAGTGGCACCGGGAAGAAAGCTGCAACATCTGGGGGTACTGAATTGGGGACTGAATTCACTTATTGATTAGAAAGGGTGGCAGGGAAGGAAACAAGGCATTGTTCTGTCCTTCTGTAAGCTTCAGAGCACTGTGCCACGGCCCCGACTCCTCAGCCGTGCGTGCCCCGAGCTCCTCGGCACCGAGAGGCCAGCGGGAGCCCCTCGGTTTGGAGAGGGGGCTCCCCTCGGTTTGGAGACCCTCGGTTTGGAGAGGGGGCTCCCCCAACCCCAAGCTTCGTGCTGGGGGGTACCTGAAGTGATCCACCTGGTTGAGCACCAGGATGTGGTGGCGGATCCTCTTCTCGCTCAGGAAGCGGTGCATGTAGGGCACGAAGGCCAGCAGCTCCTCGAAGCGCTCGCGGAAAGGGACGAGCAGGGCCAGGCGGTGGGGACCCCAGGACGGGTCGTCATCGGTAACCGGGGGGGCTCGGGGCTCGGGAGGGCAGGGTCGGCGGGGGACCCCTCTCCCGGGGGGTGCCCCCTCGCCCGAGCAGCTGAGCTGCAGCCAGAGCAGGGAGGCGAAACCCAGCAGCAGCGCGGCGAAGAAGAGCTGGAAGACGGACACCTTGCCGGGCAGGAGCCCCAGGGACCTGGGGGCACGGCGGGCGGTCAGCGGGGACCCCCCGGTGTCCCCCCCATCCCGGTGTCACCCCCCCATCCTCCCAGGGTGTCCCCTTGTCCCCTCCTCCCGGTGTCCCCCCATCCGTCCCCCGTCCCCTCTCACCCGCCGCCGCGCAGGCGGAGCGCAGCCCTGCGGCGGCCCGGCCCCATAGCGGTCCCCGGAGGTCCCGGTCCCGGTAAGGGCACCGGTGCCGGTCCCGGTGCCGGGACACGCTGGCTGAGCCCCGCCGCTCCCCCGGAAACAAGGCCCGGCCCCGCCGCCCCGCTGCCTTCCGCCCGCCGGGGGCGGGACAGGGACGGGGGCGGGCCCGGGGGCACGGCAGGGGACATCCCCACCCCACACCCCCCCCCCAGCATCATTCAGGGACCCCCCCTCCCCAATTCCTCCCTCTTTATTTCCCCCATTCCCCCAATTCGCTTCCTCCCTTCCCCCAATTCATCCCCTCCCCCCGTACTCCCCATTCACCCCCACCCCTTGCCCCAAATCCATCCCCAATTCAGCCCCGTCCTCAATTCATCCCCCCCCCAATTCCTTCCTCTCCCTTTCCCCCAATTCACCCTCTCTTCCCCCAAATCCATCCTCCCTTTCCCCCAAATTCACCCCTCCCCAACTCATTCCCCCTATTCATCTCCCCCTTCCCCCAAATTCCTCCCCCCTTCCCCCAGTTCATCCCCTGCACACCTTCCCCCAAATTCACCCCTACTCCTTCCCCATTCACTCCCCCCAATTCAGTTCCCCCCCCCTTTGCTTCCTCCCAAATTCCTTTCCCCTTGGGAACTAAGAGCTCCTTCTGCTTAGAGGTGCTTACTTAGAATCACAAAATCATTAAGGTCGAAAAACACCTCCAAGAACATCTGGTTCCCATTTATTTTCCCCCAAAAATTCATCCCCCCAACCCCCCCCCCCATACACAGGCAAAGCCACAGGTGGTGTCAGTCCTTTAATGCCCTCACAGCCCCAACCCCACACACCCCCTACATTCACGCCTGCCACCACAAGCCCCCCCCCCCAAACCCCGGGCAGCTCAGCAGGTCCTGGGGGGCAAAGGGGGGGCCCAGAAAGGCAGCGGGAGGCACCCGGCCCAGGCTGCAGGAGATGGGGGCCCCCACAGGAATCGCCCCCCCTGGGTCCGGCCCGCTGGAGGCCAGGTGTCCGGCAGGGAGTTACAGCCACACGGACAGGTAAGAAAATACTTCTTGTATTTCTCAGAAACAGCTTTTAGAAACCACAGTTTGTTTGTTTGTGTTGTTTGTTTGTTTTTTTACAGCTCCCCATAGAAAAGAAGGGTTTGGGCACAACCACAGCCCCATTCTTCCTCTAGTAGAAACGCTTGTTCCGCTCCTGGCGCTTCTGGAAGACCACAGCTCCCACCACAGCGCAGACGATGATGCCCAGCAGGGCGCAGAGCAGGAGCAGGAACACCTTCCACCCGGTCAAGGGCCCGCTTCGGAAATTCCCCGTCGGGTCATCCACGTTGTCTGCAAGGAGAGAAAAGTTATAGGGACGCCCCAATCCTCCAGCGGAGGTCTGGGAAGCGCAGAGCCTCACCTTTGGGTGATTTCAGGAGGCTGACGCTCGGCTCAATTTTCGTCCAGTCAACGGTCTCGTCTTCTAGAGGGTGCTCCACCATGAGCTGGAACAGCTTCATGGAGATGATGTCGTGATTGTCTAGGGAACAACCATCAGCACTGGGGACTGCCAGAAGCCTGGAGAAGTGCCCCACGCCTCCAGAGCACGCCCGGATCTGTGCTCTGCCAGGCTCAGGTCTCCTTCCCTCCACAGCCACCCTCACAGCCCAGCTATCAGGCTGTCATTTCGGATGTTCCTCAGCTTTTAGATGCCTCCTTTCCCAGGTTGGTCCCTACCCAGCATGGTTTCAAGAACCACAACAAGGAAAGGAAGGCATCCACAGTGTGATGTGGCAGCAAGCAGCGAGCCAGGCCCACTCACCAGACAGGTCTCCAGTGCCCGCAGAAGCACCGAAGAAGTAGCCGGTGGGCAGCTGGACCCCCGCGATGTCAATGCAGTTCTTCCACTCGTTCTTATCCTCCACGTCTGTCATCACCTGCGAGACAAGGGGGCTCACCAAGAGCACCAGCTGTCCTCCCGCCCAGCCGACAGCAATTTTAGAGCCAGAGGTGCTGGAGAGCAGGAGGCTGAGCCTGGAAAACCGCTCCCACCAGCAACACCCCAGCACTGCCCCGCCGAACGGGCGCGATGCTCCCCCCACAGCTCACCGTCAGGCGGCCCCGGGAGTAGCGGATGGCCAGGAAGGTGTCGTGGTTCTGGTTGCGGAGGTCGGCGGTGCAGCCCGCCAGCTCCGTCCAGCGCCCGTCCTTGCTGTGGTCGTACGTCAGGGAGCCGTTGTTCACCATGGCGGAGATGTAGGGGAAGACGCGCTGCGGGGAGCAGAACGTCGCTGCACAGAGCCAGCAGGAGCCTCCCCCTGCCTGCTCTGAAACCTCGGCAAGAAGTTAGCCCAGCAAGGGAGCTGCACGGCTGCGGAGCCGGCACGGAGAGCAGAACAATTGGATCAAGGCTCCCGTTCTACGTAAAGCTGTTTCTAAAATGAGAGCTTGTTCTGCTCTAAAGCAGTGACTTTTCTCATCTCCTGCGTCGAGGCCCCTAGTGGGCTCACAATAAGGTGAGTGACTTGCAGAGAAAAGACAAAACCGGGTAAAAAGCCTCCAAACAGAGCACAGAACTATAATGGGCAGCAATTGCTCATTACCAACAAAACCACAGCCACAGTTTTTTAGTCAGTGCGTGGCATACACTGGAAAGGACTGACTGGAGGCAAGAATTAACAACTCACTGAGCACAAAGACAAGGGGACAGGGCTGCTTCCAGGTGTCTGTGACATAAGTATTGGGGTTTTGGTATGATAAATCTCCCTAACACCCTCACATTGTCTGACTGTGCTGTAACTAGGTGCACAAATGCAAAGCGGGGCAGAAGAAAAGGACCACAGCCCCCCTGGGACCGGGCTGTATTTCAACCACAAGTATTTCTGGAGCAGAAAGCCAGCACAGGAGCTTCTCGTTTAGAGACACCTGTGTTGGAAACGGAAACAGCGTGGGATGATCAGAGAGGTTCAAGAAGTGACGCTCAGGATGAGTACCCTTTCAGATGGATTCCTCTAACCCTTATTGGTGCAGAGTTCATGCTTGATCCCTGCTGACTGGGAGGACAGCAGGGAAAAGGCCTTGGAACCATCTGAGCAGTCAACAGCAGGAGATGGAGCAAGCACCTTCTTGTCTCCGTTAATGCACTTAAATCCTCTGTCCTCTGCCAGCTCCCAGAGCAGGAAGAACCACCTGTTCTCACACATGGAGTTTTCCTTGCCCCAGTCATGAAGCACTCGGAACATGAAACCACGAGGAAATGGCATCCGAGCGAGCTCCCTGAACTACTCACCTCTGTTGCTTCATCGTTGGGATAGGTATCAAGGAAAATAGCCAGCCCGTGGAAGTTATCCTTGCTGCCAAAGACAGGACCTGGAACAGGGCAGAACAAAGTGAACCAACAGAAGAAATTTGTGCCCAGAAACAAAGAAGCCTTCTGTCACTTCTCAAGGAGCCCAGAGGAAGTTAAGCCTTCCTGTGTGAGCAGAAGAGCTGCGCAATTCTGTGCCCACGTCCTGAAATCCCAAGTTAGGAGGGCTTTGAGGTGCCTTGAAGCCAGCACGAGCGGCTCAGCAAAGCTTAACCAGGCAGCAACTGCAGAGACCAGCAGATACAACACCCGCATTGCTGCACGCAGACAGCTGCTCTTCCCAGGAGCTATCACAGAGACAGGGGTGAGATGCCCACTGGGAAGAGCTGCAGAAGCACTGGTTAGCAGGTGCATGGCTGCAGGCACTCAGCAGCAGGGAGATGAAGCGCAGCCAAGGAGAGCTCAACCCCTTGCTCTGCAGCCCCTCCAGCACAGGAGCAGCCCCACGGCCGTTGCAAGGACCTAGATCAGCTGCAGGGCAGCCGCTCACTGGACACCCACCTGGCACCAGGCGCTCCTGCGTGTACCACAGGGCGAGCCCGTCCCCGTGCAGGTTCTTCTTGCCGGCCCCGTGGATCTTGAAGTGGACGTGGAGCTCCCAGTCCTTGAGGAAGCAGGGCTGTGCGGACAGACGGCAGGACAGGGTCAGGACAGCGCTAACGGGGAGCCCCCCGCGCCCCCCATCCCGGTGCTCACCACTCGGTTCCAGATGGAGCCCTCCCGGCTGCGCTCGTCGGGCGTGAGGCGCACGTACTGGCTGGTGACCATGGTGCTGCCCTGGAAGTCCCACAGCGGCATGGCGGCCGAGCCCGCGCCTGCAGCGGGCACAGGGAGCGGCCTCAGCACCGGGCCCGGTTCCACCCCCGGTGTTCGCCCCCCCCCCCCCCCCGGTCCCCGCTCACCCTGGTACGGCTTCATCAGCGAGTGCTCGCGCTTCAGGTGCTCGCTGTTGCCGTCCGTCAGCTCGGCGGGCGCGGGCCCGGCCCCCGCCAACAGCAGCACCGCGGCCTGCCCACAGCCGCGCACCCGCACCCGCTCCTGCCGCCGCCGCCATGCTCCGCTTCCGCCTTCCGCCCCGCCCCGCCCTCCCGCTGAGCGGCGGGCCGCGCGGCCAATCAGAGAGCGCTACGCCGCCGAGAGCCCGCCCCCCTCGGGGGGTGCCGCCTATGGGCGGAGGGCGGGGCGCCTCCCGGCGTGCAGTGCGCGGCGGTGAGAGCGAGGGATGCCGGGAGTTGTAGTCCGCTCGGACTGCGCCTCGTGGTGCTGCCGCCTCCTCCCCTGCCGGCAGCGCTGTTGCCATGGCAACGCCTCACAAGATGGCGGCGGGCCTCGGGGCCTGCAGCCCTTGCTATAGGAAAGGATGGCTGAGGCGGTGTGGGGTCACGGGCTTTATTGAGAGCCACCCACTGGCCATTAAGCTCCACAGCTTGTCTCGTAGAATCACAAAATCCTTCTAATCGAACCATTAGGGTTGGAAAAGCCCTCCAAGACTGTGTAGTCCAACCACCCCCTGCCACCACTGTCACCAAACCGTGTCCCCAAGCACCACGTCCAGCCTCTCCGTGAACACCCCCAGGGTCGGTGACACCACCACCTCCCTGGGCAACCCGTCCCAATGTCTGACTGCTCTTCTGGGGAGGCAGCAGCCACCTCCTGCAGGAACGGAGGGGTTCGGCTGCATCTTTATCTGGGGTGTGCAGAGTGACGTGGGCAGACAAGCAGTGAAAGACTAGGTGAAAAAACCCATGTGAGAAACCCATGTGAAAAACCCATGAAAAAAGGTGAAAAACCCGTCTGAGCAAGAGTTTGAGGCTCAGGGCCCAGTCAAGCCTTTGGGTGGAGTGTGGGGACCAGGGCAGTTGGCCATGGCTTAGGGACCCGCAGCTCAGTCCAGTCTGGCACTTCCCAGCTCTCACTTCTTCCTGCTCATGATCTGGCTGGAAATCCAGTTCATCCCATCCTGGAAGGAAGAGAGACGTGAGCACGTCCCCAGAGCACGGCAGGCCCTTAGGTCCTCTCCCACCCCGCAGTGCCCTCGCCTCTCTACCTGCACTCCTTCCCCGGACAGGGCTGAGCAGGCCTGGATCTGCCATTCCCGGTCCCGGTAGGTGTGGAGGCTCAGCCCTTCGGCGATTTCGGCCGCAGGTGCTGCCGTCACCAGGTCCTGCTTGTTGGCAAACACCAGCAGCGGGACTCCCGTGAGAGACTCATCCTCGGTGAGCTCGGCCAGCTCCTGCCGAGAGATAACCCTGTCCCAGGAGCACTGCCCCCCAGCAGGCTGGGGCAGCTCGCTCCCAAAACCCAAATCCAAAGATGCCGTGAGGTCTCCGTATCCCAAAAGGCAGATGTGCAGCCCTGAAGCTACATCTGCCCCGCAGAGAATCTGGAGCCGCTCTCAGCATCACCTGGGGGATAAACACACCCGGCACCGAGCGCACCTTGGGCAAAGGGCAGCGGCAGGAGGCTGCTGTCAGCCCCGGCTGTCTGGCGCACCCACGCCTCCGTTCCAGGCGGCGTTTGGTGTCAGCACAGCCTTGACTGGCACTGGCAGTCTCACCTTCGGTTTTACTTTCCAGGTTTTGTAATTCTGAGTTCACTACTCGAGCTTCAAGGAGGAAAGTTTTGCTTTGTCGTATGGCTCCCCTGGCGCTGGGAGGATTCCCACGAGAGGCAGTCACCCACCCCCACGTTGGGCACTCCTGGGGCATCACCCCCAGCTCCAGTAAAATGGGGAGAGCTGGCTGGGGCAGAGCTGCGTGCCCTTCCTGTGCACCTATGGGGACAGCTTGGCCCAGGGTACAGCCTGTAGCAGTCACAGGGAACATCCTCACTCCCCGCTTCAGCCTCCAGCAGCTGGCAGTGCCACGTCTGAACCCCCAACCCCACCACCCCCCCTTAATCCATCCCCCCTCATACCTGCCCTGTCTCCTCAAAGCGCTTCTGGTCTGCGCTGTCAATGACATAAATCTGCCGGGGGGGACAAAAGGGACAGTGGGCAGCCTCTCCTTGCCTCTGCCTGCTGCAGGGGCTCCGCTGCGGCACGGCTCCGGCACTCACCAGCAGGTCGGTGCTGCCCAGGTACTTCCTCCAGTAGGGGCGGACGGAGCGCTGCCCCCCGATGTCCCAGACGTTCAGCTTGAAGCCGTGCGAGTTGATGCTCTTGATGTTGAACCCCTGCGTGGGGAACCAAACCCCGGCGTCACCCAGGGACCTGCCTCGCGTGGTCCTGCCTCGCCTGGTCTGCAGCAGCCCCTACCTGGGTGGGGGTGATGGTGGTGACCTCCTCGGACGCCAGGCGTTTCAGCAGCGTGGTCTTGCCCGCGTTGTCCAGCCCCAGCAGGACGATGCGGAGCTCCTGCCCCGGGGAGCCCTGCAGGCTCTGGATGACGGAGAGCAGCCCCTGGGGGCGCGGGGGGCTGGGGGAGCCCTGCGGGGTGCCGGGTCGCTGCAGAGCACCCTCGTTTCGGTGGGGGGATCTGGGTGCTCTGTTGGTCATTTTCCCCGTGTCTACAGCCCGAGTGAGCTCCAGGACTTAGTCCCGAGGTGCCCAAGCTTGGGGTTACCCCACCTCAGATAAACCCAGCCTGTCCCCCACCCCTGGGCAGGCTGTCCCTGTCCCCTGGGAGCCTGGCCAGCTCCCGGCAGGCTGGGGGCCGAGTCCTGGCCCTGCTCTGCCAGCCGGGAGCTGGTGCCAGCGCAGCCGCCCTGGGGCAGGCGGGGTGTAGCCAGACCCCCCCTCACCTTCTGCACCTCGCCCATGGTCTGGGAGCGGCTGCAGCCCGCGGCACGGCTCAGGGGATGCCGGGGGCATCTGCGTGACTGGCACGCTCCCCATCCCTGGGGGAGGAAGAGGATTACGGGCTCCAGAATTAGCTGCTGTTTCTCCATTTACCCACAGCATTGAATAATGCCCTCAGCAAATCCCCCAGCCAGCTGTCACCCAGCCGTCACCTCCCCCTGCTCCCTACCCCCAGGATAAACTGGGGGGCACTGAGGATAAACCGGGGGGCACCAAGCATCTCCTCTCCCCATGGCACCAGTGCAGCAGGAGGATGCAGTATCTGGGCATCGTGAGCACGATGCTCTGGCAGAGCATGGCCAAGGGACACGGAGTGGCACAGCCAGGGCACGGCTGTCCCCAGGAGAGGCCCTGCGGCCCCAGCCGGGATGGAGGAGGCAGGCAGAGCCTCTCGGCCTGTGGAGCTGGCCCAGAAAGGGCCGACGCCTCCTCCGGCACATCCCGGTCCCCACATTCCACTCGCATCAGCAGGATGAGGTGACACCAGCAGCCACAACCCATCCCCTCGGCCCCGTGGCGCCAGACGGCGCCGAGCAGAGCTCAGCAGGGACGAGCGCCAGCCCAGAGCCCAAAGCCCTGCTGGAGTCACCGGCACAGGGATGCCACGGGCAGGGGACGGGGACGGAAGGAGGGCAGCAGGACTGCACCCCTCACCCCAGGCACATCCTGTGGGGCCAGAATCCCGCTCCCTGCATCCCAGTCCCTGTATCCCAGAGCGTGGCAGGAGGCAACGCCGGGGCACGGCTGGCCAAAGCCACCCTGGGCCACGTCAGCTTCTCCCATCCGAGGGAAACCACCGGGCTGCTGGCAGCCAGCAGGGGACGGGGTGCAGAGGGGCACAGGCACCGCTGTCCCCAGCAGCCCACCCTAACCCCATGGGGCAGGGGTCTCACCCAGTCGCCATTTGGGATAAAAACACGAAAATACGTGAATCCAGCGGTGCATTCGCTCTCGCTGCGGCTCGGTCCCCGGCTCAGGTTTCCTCGCAGAGGTTACCCTTTGCGGGGAGGGCCCGTGAGTCACGCACCCGGGGTGAGACATTTTTATTTATAACTCCCGTCACGGAGCCAAGGCAAACAACGGGACGGCGAGAGGCGCGAGCGGCCTCGGCCTCGCCGCTGTGTGCGTGCTGCTGGCGTTAACGCTTCGGCTGTCCCCACACCAGCACCAGCTGCCCGGGGGCTCACCCCACACCTTGCACCCCAAACACCCACATCCCCGTGAGCGTGGTGCTCGTGCTTCACCCAGTTCCTCCTATCTCCCACCAAACCCTACAAAACCCTACAAAACCTGCCCAAAATCCCCTCCCGGTTGCCAGCAGGCACCGAACCATGGCCACGGCTCCGTGCTGAGCGTGGCTCGCCCCCAGCACCCCCGGTACCGGCGGCTCCCCACGGGGCACGGGGGCACCCCCAGAACCAGGAGCCGGTGCCCGGTGCCCTGCGGGGGAACCCGGGACGGGGGAGCGAGAGGGCGGCGGCGCCGGTGCCGTTCCCGGAGCCATCCCCGGAGCCGGTCCCGGTGGCGGTGGCGGTCCCGTTCCCGGTGGCGGCGTCGGGAGGGCGGCTCCGCTCCCCCCTCGGCTGCGGTCTGGGTTCCCATAGCGACATTTCCTGTGGCAGCCGAAAGCGGCAGTGCCGGCGGTGCCGGGGGTGCCGGGAGGGCCGGGCCGGCCGCGCCGCGCCACCGGGCGGGGATGCTGCGGGGCACCGGGCCGAGCCGGTAACCCGCCGGGACCGGCACCGGCACCGGGACCGCCACCGGGACCGGCACCGGCACCGGGCCGTGCCAGGGATGCAGGGCAAGGGCAAGCTGCTGCTGGTCCACAACGGGCGCATGGTGAGCGCCACCGGGAACCGGGAGCGCACCGGGAGGAGTTGATGGGGTACCGGGGGTGGGCGCGGGGATGGGGATGGGGATGGGGTAGGAGGAGGGTGTGGGGATGGGGGTGTGGGGATGGGGAGAGGATGCGCTGCTGGGGTGGGGGGTGGAGATGTGTGGGGTTGGGTGAGCGGGGATGGGTGTGGGGGGCTGGGGAGTGTGGGGCTGGGGGGTTTGGGGATGGGGAATTTAGGGCTGGAGGGGTTGGGGGTGGGGAGTTTGGGGCTGAGGGGTTTGGGTTGGAGAGTTCGGTGCTGGGGAGTTTGGGGCTGGGGAGTTTGCGGATGGGGGGTTTGGGGATGGGGTTTTGGGGATGGGGGTTTTGGGGATGGGGGGTTTAGGGATAGGAAGTTTGGGGATGGGGAGTTTGGGGATGGGGAGTTTGCGGTTGGTGACTGTGGTGCTGGGGAGTTTGGGGCTGGGCGGTGTAGGGCTGGGCGGTTTAGGGCCGGGGAGTTTGGGGTGTGTACCAGGGATGGATGGAGATGGGGAAGAGCAAGGATGGGGTGAGGTGGGGCTGTGGGGCCGGAGATGGACGAATGGGGCTGGGAGGTGTGGGGCTGCCACAGGGGGCACGGCAGGGGTCTGGGGGTGGGCTACCAGGGGGCAAGGGGCGTGTTATGGGGCTGGGGTAGGAGGTAGCAGGGCCGGGGTGTGTGGGGCTGGGCTGGGGGCTGCAGGGCAGGCTGGGGTGCGTGGGGCTGGGGGGACACCAGCCAGTGAGGCCCAGGGCACGGCTCCAGGGTGGCTCAGGGGGGCGGTGGGCGGCCGGCACACCCCGTGCGGGCTCTGCTCGTCTCCCCAGGGGTGCCACGTCCCCAAGGGAGGTGCCCGGGGCAGCCCAAGGGATGCTGCGGGACCCGGAGGTGCCGTCTCCTGGGTGCTGGCTCTCCAGTAGCCCCAGGCCCCGAGGCAGCGAGCAGTTTGCCTGCTTGGGGCTGTGGTTCTCCTTCCTTCCCTCCCCTCCTCCCCTCCTCTTCCTGTGCCGGGGAGGCTGCTTCTCTCCTCCCCGGGTAACTGCGGGGTTGTGGCCGATAGCATCTGCCCTTTCCCCATCGCTGAGCCCAGACGCACACCGGTGGGAGAAAGGCTGCGTGCTCACCGGGCTGGGGGGGAGCCCCACGGCCTGCCCCCACACCATGGGGCAGCAGCCCCAAATTATATGGGGTGGTGTTTGCCAGCTGCTCGCCCTCCCTCACACCTCTCCTCTCCACCCCACAGGGCCCGGCCGTGTCGGATGGAGGTAAGGCTGCTCCTCACATCCTCACCCGGGGAGGGGGAAGCCCCGCTGGGCCCGGCCCCCCCTGCTCGGATGGGGCTCTGGGTGCTGGTTTGGGGCACGCAGAGCCCGGTCGCTGCGGGGGGAGGCTGTCTGTTTGCCAAGTCATGCCTGGCCTCGGGCAGAACAAGAAGGGCAGAGAGCTTGGCAGAGCAGCGAGCTGCCTCCTCTGCTGGGGGGGGGGCGCTGGGATGCTGCCCCCCTCCTGCTGGCTCTACCAGGAGACCCCTCCTGTGCGCCCCAAGCTCCTCTGGCCCCTGGTCCCCATTGTCACCAGTCAGACCCGAGCAGGAGCTGGCTGGCCATGGGGACTTCCCTCTTTTAGGAGGAGGGCTGTGTTTGAATGCACTCATCTCTGCTCCCCTCGGCTTCCTTTAAGGCTGGGGCTGACCATTTCTGTGCCCACAGCGGCCAGAGGAGCGGAGAAGGGAAATCGAGGCACAGCGCGGTCACGGTGCCAGAGGAGCCCCCCACCCACCCTCCCCGCCAGCCTGCCCCTCGTCTCCCTGCCCTTCTGCTTCCCCTCCCCACTGGGCGCCTTCCCCACGCGCTGCTTTGTTCCCCTGGGAGATGAGTCACACGTGGAGTGACGGTGACAGCCCCGGGAGGGAGCGCTGTCACCGGGAGGGATTGCTGTCACGCCGGAAGGTGTCGGCTGTGCCACCACGGCACTGTGCCACCACGGTGCTGTGCCACCATGGCACTGTGCCACCACGGCGCTCGTCTGCTGGCGATGCCACGACGCACGGAGCAGCAGCTCAGCTCCTCGTGCTCCCACCCCGACACCTCGCAGGCTCAGGGCAGCCCATACGGGGCAGATGAATCTGGGGCAGGCACCGGGGGCTGTGGGCACCTCGGGGCTGAATTAGCCCTGGCCACGCGTGCCCCCAAGCAGGGTGGCCACGATGCTCAGCAACAGGACCTGAGCCTTTTCTCTCCCAGAATTAAACGCCTCCAGGGCCCGGGGCAGCAACCACAGCGTGAACAGCCTGCCGGCCCCACAGACCACCTGCGGCTCCGCGCACGGCTCCGTGGCCAGCTGGGCAGAGTCCTTCGAGACGCTGCTGCAGGACCGCGTGGCTGTCACCTACTTCACCGTGAGTGCCGCAGCCCAGACCCTGCTCCCCGCACCATCCCTGCAGCCGTCCTGGCCTCGAGCATCCCTCACGCAGCTCTCTGCCCCCCCAGGAGTTCCTCAAGAAGGAGTTCAGCGCCGAGAACGTCTACTTCTGGCAGGCATGCGAGCGCTTCCAGCAGATCCCAGCCAGCGACACGCAGCAGGTACCGGCCCCGCAGCTGAGGCTGCAAATCCCTGGCAGGGGAGGTTGGGTCTCTTCTGGTCAGGACAAGGGGATGGAGCAGCGCGTTGTGCCCAGAGCTCGGTGCTGGATGTGGGGCTGATGCCGGTCCCCCAGCTGTGAGGTGGCCCTGGTGGGGACCTGGCCCAGTGCTCAGGGGCTCGGAGGGGAGGGGGCTCCTGGCCCCATCCTGACCCCCCTCTCCCAGCTGGCACAGGAGGCACGGCGGATCTACGACGAGTTCCTCTCCAGCCACTCGGTGAGTCCCGTCAACATCGACAGGCAGGCTTGGATCGGGGAGGACATGCTGGCCACCCCCTCCCCGGACATGTTCCGCCTCCAGCAGCTCCAGGTGAGACAATCTCCCCCCCCCAGCCCCACTCCAGAGCCCCCCAGGGAGCCATGGGCTGGGGCGCTGAGCGGGCACCTCCTCCCCTCGCAGATCTTTAACCTGATGAAGTTCGACAGCTACACGCGCTTCGTGAAGTCCCCCCTCTACCAAGCCTGCCTGAGGGCTGAGAGCCAGGGGCAGCCCCTGCCGGACCTGCGGCCCCACTCCCGCAGCAGCAGCCCCCCCCCAGACCTCAGCAAGGTGAGCGGGATGCAAAGGGGGGACACGATCCCATCCTGGGGCCGGGCACCGTCCCCACCGTGTCACAAGCCTGGCCACGGCCTGAGGACAGAGACGTGGCGGGGGACAGAGGCTGAGCTTCCTCTCCCTGCCCCAGAAGTCGAAGCTGAAGCTGGGGAAGTCGCTGCCTCTCGGCGTGGAGACGGCCGGCAGCGGGGCCACCCGCAGCCCCCGCCGCTCCTTCCGCAAGGGCGAGCGACGGGAGCCCTCCTGGGCAGGTAGGCGCCGTGCAGGGCAGCAGGGGACAGCCCCATCCCCACGCCGTCCCCATCCCCACACCATCCCCGTCCCCATGCCGTCCCCATCCACGGGTGTCCGCTTGTCCTAGATGGGGGAGAAGGCGGTGGAAGCGCCGTGCTGTGGCGAGAGTCTCAGGGCTCCCTCAACTCCTCCGCCAGCCTGGACCTGGGTTTTCTCTCCTCGGCTGGCACGGCTGCCAGCCCCTGGACGGAGGTGAGTCCTCGCTGCGCCAGCCCCGCGCTGCCACTGGCCCTGCTGACGGCGCCTCTCCCATCCCGCAGGGCCATCGCAAGAGCCTGGGGGGCAGCGAGGCCGAGGCCAAGCCCACCAAGTACTGCTGCGTCTACCTGCCCGACGGCACGGCCTCGCTGGCCGCCGTGCGGCCCGGCCTCTCCATCCGCGACATGCTGGCTGGGATATGCGAGAAGCGAGGCTTCAGCCTCCCCGACATCAAGGTGTACCTGGTGGGCAACGAGCAGGTACGGGGCAAGGGGGGGCTCCGGGCAGCGGGGATGGCAAAGCGGGGATGTCGCCAGGAGCCTGCTGATGCGTCGGCTCTTGCAGAAAGCGTTGGTGCTGGACCAGGAGTGCTGCGTGCTGGCAGACCAGGAGGTGAAGCTGGAGAACAGGATCAGCTTTGAGTGAGTGCCGTTTTGGGGATGAATGCCTTCCAGGCCACATCGCCCGCCCCAACCTCCCTGCAGAGCCGCTGACGCCTCTCACGTCTTCCTTCCCCGCAGCCTGGAGATCTCCTCCCTCAGCAAGACCATCCGCATCACGGCCAAGTCCACCAAGCGCATCCGGGAAGCGCTGCAGCCCGTGCTGGGCAAATACGGCGTCAACGTGGAGCTGGCGCTGCTGCGCCGGGTGAGGGCAGCCACAGCGCTGGGCTGGGGGATCCGGGGGGGTCTCAGCGATCTGTGCTGAGCTGGGCAGCACCGGGTGGGCGCGCTGGGTGCCGGGCAGACCCCAAACTGGCGGGGCTGTGGCTGGCGAGCTGTGACATTGGTGCCATGGGCACCCTTGCCACGCGCCGTGTCACAGCGGTGTGACTTTGGGGTTCCTCGTTGCAGCAAGGTGAGTCGGCAGCGCTGGACCTAGAGAAGCTGGTCAGCACGGTGGCTGCGCAGAAACTCGTCCTGGAAACGCCGGCAGGTAACGCCTGGGGACAGCCGTGTCCCCTCCCGAGCCATGTCACTCCCCAGAGCTGTGCCAGCACCCTGAGCTGTGTCCCTGGCCCATTCTGCTCACGGGGCCGGGCTGCTTTCTGCTGGCCACGGCTCCTGCTCCCTGCGTGGGCTCTGTCCCGTCACCAGCCAGGCCCAAAGTTTTGATCCCTACCCTACACCTTGCAGACATGAGAGTGACAGAGAGCGCCGAGGCTGCGGCCGCCCCCTCCCCGCTGCGCAGCGAGGTGAGTCCCGGCTCTGCCCTGGTCAGGAGGGGAGATGCCCCGGGCTTGTGGGGGTGCCGTGGGGAAGGGGTGCCCGCTGCAGGGGCAGGAGCAGGCTGCTGTGGGGTGGGGGAGCGCTGCCTCCCTGCCCCCATGCTGAGCTGGGCTGCTCATCACAGGAGGGAAGCCCGACGGGAGCGGAGGCCGACGTGCCATGGGGGCTGCCCCCCTCCTCCTGCAGGCCCCGGTCCTCGGCTGCCACCAACCTGAACCGCCGCACCTACGACTTGGAAGGTGAGAGCTGGCGCACCCCAAACCCACGGGATTGGGGCAAAACACGGGGCGGTGAGGGGAGCAGGGTCCATGCAGCATGAGGTCCCGTGGGCGCGGGGTCCCGTGGAGAGGCTACGGGTGCTGCTTTTGGGGTCACATCAGGGCCAAGGCTTTTAGGAGCGGGTGGCGGTGCCTGGGCTGAGGTGCATGTCCTACTTTTCCCCCAGGGCTGGTGGAGCTGCTGAACCGTGCCCAGAGCTGCCGGGCCAACGACCAGCGGGGGCTGCTCTCCAAGGAGGACCTGGTGCTGCCTGACTTCCTCCAGCTGCCGGGGCAGGACGGCAGTGCCTGCGGGGGCTCCGAGCAGCCCAGCGCCTCTCACCTGGGATCCCAGGGGAGCAACCACCCCGGCCCCACCAAGGAGCCCGCGCCGGCTCAGCCCGCGGTCGAGCAGGAGCCCCGGTGAGCCCTGCCCCGTGCCCGCACCCAGCGCCTGGCGCCGCCGACACTGCCCGGACCGCAGATTCGTCCACGTCCCGTCCCAAACTCGTGTCGTGTTGCTGTGAGTGGTCGAGCAGCTGCCGTGCCCCTCGGTGGGGCCACATCCCGGTGCACATCCAGGGAGTCCTGTACATAGTTTGAGCCCCCCCGCTGCAAAGCACTCGGCAGAGTCCCGCGCACGCCTGGCACTGCCCTGCCCGGTGCTTCTGCCTCCCCTGCCTGGGGCAGGGCTGCCTCGGGGTGAATCCTGCTTGCGCCAGGCTGGCACGGCCCCACGGGAAGCAGCCTGCCAGCCAAAGGGCGTGTGGGATGGAGAGGATGTGGGTGGATGGGGTGGCAGGGCGGGGCAGCCCTAAGCCCCCGTGCCATGGGCAGGCAGGGACGGGAGAGCGGGTGGGGATGGATCTAGCCCCATCCCAGCAGTGGGTTCCCATGGCAAGACCCTACATGATGGGGGCTGCAGAAATGGCCCCCTGCCCTGTCCCTGCTGGGGCAGTGAGCTCTCAGCCTTCGGGGCCAGGCTTGCCCTGTGCTGGAGGTGCCGGAGCAGCGCAGCACCTCTGGGTGCTGAGCATCTCAGCCTGCCCTGGGTGCTGCCGGGTGCCCGGCGTGCCCGCGTGGCCAGACCCGGCTGCGCCCTGGGCCACCGCTCGGTCCCCACTGCCCGGCCAGAGGCAGAGGGGTGGCTCAGGGCAGCCTCCTGGGGGGAAGCACAGCCCCCCAGCCGGCCCCCAGGGCTGGCACAGAGCCCTCGTGTGTCTCCGTGGTGCTGCTCGGTCCTGTCCGTGGTGTGAAACCGGGGGAAATAAAGAGCATTGCCTGGAAGCACTTCTCTTGCCTTCCTTCCTGCCCCGCTGGGGAGCCAGGCTGCGCCCGGGGTGGCTCCGGGGGTGGCCAAGGGATGCTTCTGGTGGCATCACCTCCCTGCGCCCCAACTACCCCACAAAGCCCCTCGGGGCCAGCCCCCACACCCCTGCCGGTGGCCGTACAGCCCCCAGCCGTGCCGCCCTGCCTGCGGGAAGGGGCAGCACCAGCAGCCCCATTTCTCAGCCCCGCCGGTGGTGTAGGGCACACCGCAGGACTGGTAGGACTTCAGCCCCGAGCCTGTCAATGAGTGACAGCCCGAGCTGCCAGGGCCTCGCGGGTTAATGATTGTGGGGGCAACCAGGCAGCGGCCACCGCAGCCCCCAGGGACAGGGCACACGCGGCCACCGGCCGGCTTGGGGGCTGTGGGGTGGTCCCAGGCTGCACCCCATGGTTGGAGGGACCCCCACGGCCCTTTTATCCCAGAGGCCAGGCAGTGGCTGCTCCTGGGGGTGTAACCTGGCAAGGGGCAGGGGGTACCAGGCTGGCTTAGCCATGGACTGTCCCCAGGCACCGCCAGCACCCTGGGTACCTGCGGGGTCTCCCCATCGTGTCTGTAAAACCTTCATGCCTGGCTTTTTTGGGGTACAGAGCTGACAAATTACTCTGTGAGCCATGGCCTAGAGGAACGTCCTCATCCCACTAATCCCAGCACACGGATGGCACTGCCCCCTCTGGATCTTGCGTGGCACAAGGCACTGGGGACGAAGCGCTGCCCCCCAGCTGGGTGCCCTGCTGCGCCCACACACCCCGGCAGGACTTGGGGTACCCTCGTCCTGCATCACACTTGTCCCTCGGTCCCCGCAGCGCCCAGGGAGCAGCGTGTGCTGCCAGGCTGACCCAGGCCAGGGTCACGCAGTGCTCCACGCCCCGGTGGGCACGGCTTGAGGCACAACGACGCGCTCGTGGGCACCAGCAGGGCCCAGCAGTGCTGGCTCCTGGCGTCCACCTCCCAGCCACGGCAGAACGGCGGTGGCACAGCCGCGTGGCCCCTCCGCACCCCTCCTGACACCCGCAGCCACCGCAGGGACCTTTGGCCCCAGCTCTCCCCTCGGCTGCCGTGGGCACGAGCTGGCCGGGCACCTCGTGGGTGGATGGAAACTTGGCCGGAGGTGCGCACACGGGGTAATGATAAACGGCAGCGGGGCGGCGGTGACGATAACGTTGGCACCGCTCCCTGCCCTGCACCGCACACGCCGAGCAGCAGCGGTCCCTGCAGCTCTGTGCCACCATCGTTGGTGACATGGGGACCACCAGGGTGCCTGTAGGACCCTGCCACGATGCTGGTGCGACCGCTGCCACCGCTCACAGCCAGGACAGCAGGGCCGGGACCCTGGTGGGTGATGCTTGGGTGGCTGCGAGGATGCGCGCATGGCCTCACCTCCAGCAGCGACACCTCCTCCTCGTCCTCATCTTCCTCCTCCTTCTCCTCCTCTCCACACAGTGCTGAGGCCATATCAGTGGCCACCCCACAGGATCAGGGCTCCGGCACAGCCCCAGGCAGGCGAGGTGGGATGCGTGGGGTGTCCTGGGGGCACCGGACACCGGGGGCGCGTGCCCCATCCCGCCCCAGGCCGCGGCTGACGTGGGCTGTCACGGGGTTACCCATTAACTGCAGGAATTTCTGGGGAGGAGGTGAGTGGCGAGCAGAGGCGAGGGGCAACGCTGGGCTCCTTAGACTTTGCTCTTGGCGTGCATATAAAGGGCCCGGTGCCCTGCGGGCCACTCTGCCAGAGGGACGCGTGGATGTGGCATGAGGACATGGCACTGCCCTGACCGCTCGGCCAGCCCCAGGTGAGCAGGGTCCCGGGGCAAAACTGGCTGCTGGTGGCCCCAGTGGGACAGGACCAACTTTTGGTGGCCCCAGTGGGACAGGATCGGCTGCTGGTGGCCCCAGTAGGGCAGGACCCAGCTGTTCCCAGCTCCCTGCCCCGTGCCCACCAGCTGACCCCATCCCGTGCGCTGCTTCCCTGCGGGAGCCCCGGGGGTGACACAGTGGCAGCTGGTGGCTGAGGTCACCAGGGGGATGGTGCTCCTTGGTGGTGCCACCACCCACGGCTGCCTGCGGTGACTGCGGTGACGCGTGGCCTCTTGTGCTCAGACCCACCCAGAGCGATGCTGCCCTACCGGAGGGAGAGCCCGGCCATGCCCCGCTGCCCGGTGCGGGGAGGAAGGGTGGTGCACGGGCCCCAATTCGCCTACTGCCCCAGCCCCCCAGGTAGGTCCCTCAGCCTTCCTCCTCCTCCTCCTCCTCCTCCTCCTCCTCCTCACCCTGCAGAGCTCAGCTCCGCTTCCACGTGCCAGGCAGGGTCCCTGCCTGGCACCCTGCAGGGACGGGGCCATAACGTGGGTGCCACCTCTCCCCAGCTCTGCACAGGCTGCCGGGTGCCCACGCCTGTCCCTTCGCCGTGAGCACGGTGACTTGCCCTGACCATGGCTTCCTGTGCCCCGGCTCCCCGGGGAGGCTGGTGGAGGGCATGGAGCGCTACGAGCTGGACGCGCTGCCCTGGCAGGGGCCCCGGCTGGGCTTGGAGGAGCTGCAGAAGCCAGGTGAGGTCCCCGCAGCGCCCCGGCACGGAGCACCCCAACCAGAGCACCCGGCGTGGAAGATGCTCGGCACCCCAGGGTGCCGTGGGCAGAGCAGAGGGAGGCGGAGGGGACCTGGGGACCGGTGGCACGGCCGGGCACGGGGACGCGCGGCCGGCGTTTAACACTCTCTCTTGTCTTGCGCAGAGCTGGGGTGCTGGGCGAGGGTCCAGTCCATCTGTGTCTCCCTTCTCAAGGTGCCCCTGATGTTCGGCTTCCTGTACCTCTTCGTCTGCTCGCTGGACGTGCTCAGCTCTGCCTTCCAGCTGGCCGGAGGTACGGCCACGGGGGCAGCGGGCGGCCGGCGGCACCGCTGCTCCGGCACCCTGCCGCTCGCGCTCTCTCACAGGCAAGGTGGCCGGGGACATCTTCAAGGACAACGCCATCCTCTCCAACCCCGTGGCCGGGCTCGTGGTGGGCATCCTGGTGACCGTGCTGGTGCAGAGCTCCTCCACCTCCACCTCCATCATCGTCAGCATGGTCTCCTCGGGGCGTGAGTGCGCTCCTCGGGAGCCGAGGCTGGGGGACACGGGGTGGCTGGAGGGGGGCCACCCTGAGCTGGGACACGTGGGGCCAGCGGGTGTCTCTGTCCCCAGTGCTGGAAGTGCGCTCTGCCATCCCCATCATCATGGGCTCCAACATCGGCACCTCCGTCACCAACACCATCGTGGCCCTCATGCAGGCCGGTGACCGCAGCGAGTTCAAACGGTGAGCGCTGCTCGGGGCAGGGGGGGGATCTGGGGGGGGGGGCTCGGGGCTGCTCCCCTGCCCACACGTGGGCTCTTCCACGCAGGGCTTTCGCCGGCGCCACGGTGCACGACTGCTTCAACTGGCTGTCCGTGCTGGTGCTGCTGCCGCTGGAGGTGGTGAGCGGGTACCTGCACCGCGTCACCCGCCTGGTGGTGGCCACCTTCAACATCCGCAGCGGGAAGGACGCCCCCGACCTGCTGAAGATCATCACGGAGCCCTTCACCAAGCTCATCATCCAGGTCTCCGCGGGCCGCCCGTGCTGTCCCCAGGGGTGGTGTCCTTAAAGCTGCTGTCCCTTTGGCGGCGTCCCCATCACGGCGAAGATGTCCCCCCAGGCTGGGCGTGCTGCCAGCCCCCAACCGCCCTCTCCGCCGTGTTGTTGCAGCTGGACAAGTCGGTGATCACGGGCATCGCCACGGGAGACGAGAGCCTGCGCAACCGCAGCCTCATCCGCGTGTGGTGTGACCCCGCGCCCCCCCAGGTGAGGGGTCCCTGACCTTGCCATGGGGCTGGGAAGGGTTGGAGAGCTGGGAGGGTGCGCGATGGCCCCCCTAAAACCACCCCAAGGAGTGGGGTGGGCCCTGTGGAGACATCCACAGCCTGATCTCACCCTGCAGACAGCTGCTGGGGGGCTTGGGGTCCCCCCAAACTGCACATCCCCCGGCCACTGCAGCGGTAGCGGCATGGAGAGCATCCACAACATCACCAGGCAGAAGTGTGAGTGGGGCTGGGGTCAGGACGTGTGGCAGGGCTGGGAGATGCTGGGCTGGGGGTTTTGGGGCTGGGGGAGACATGTGTGCGGT